AAATGCAAAAGTTTCATAATAGAGTTTTTAATGTCAGGAATAATGGAAATATGAAGGTCTCTTAGGTGAGAGATTATAATAGCAGTTAGAATCATAAAATAAATATGAATTGTATCAAGGCAACTAGAACCAAGATGTAAAAATCTTGAAGACAGACTTTGTTTCGAGAGAGTTGATTTCATTTTTGTCATAAATTGGAATCTGGACATAGAAGCACCGAAGTCCATTTACATTGCTTCTTTGAAGTGGAACTCTATTTGATATAAACTGATATGTAAGTGCATATGAAATACTCTATCACAGCCTTGACGTTTTTTGTTAGAAGCAACAAATCGGGATTTGTTTTAAGCTGCGTTTTTCCAGGAGAGGTTGGCCTCTTATCGTGGTGCTATTAGATTGTAGGTCTTTGCTTTTTTCTTTTTTCCACTGTGAACTTTAAAAAATTAAATGCTCGGGCTTAGGCTGGCTCTATATTCTACAGGCAAATGTTTTTATTTTATTTTTTTTTTATCGAGCCATGTAAAAAATTTAAAAAGTGATGTGTATACAAATAATGCAGGAGATGAGAAAGCTCCTTTTATTATTTCCTAATGTATTGCGGGTGGAAAGCTTTGACTACTATTTAAGGATTCCTGCAGTTAAGTGTCGCTTGTTCTGGTTTGGATTTGGAGATGCCTCCCTGTCGTCACAACGCAAGCCTGCCTGTGTGTGTGTTTAACCTCAGTGCGTTTCCCGAATTCTAATTTACTTCCCTCAGAATTCAGTGCTCCCCGGTTTTATAGACAACGGTGCCCTGAGGTTGTCTATTGTGGTCTGCATTGTTTTGTACCTATTCACAGTACCTATTTTAATCCATGAGGATTTATTTTACTGAGGAAAAAAATAAGTGTTTTTAAAGCTGTATTGTAGGCATAATTTGCTTTTCAGCTAGAGGTCACTTGGAAATTAAATGAAACTGTCACAGTGAAGGTTATTGAGAGATGTAGCACACAGATACTGCAGCCTATTCTAGCTGTGTTCTTTAATAATAAATCAGGACTTAGGAAACGCATTGTGGCTATTTTTTTCCCCTCATTTTCAAGATATGCATTTAATACACTTAAAAGATTACCTGTTCCCTTCCAAATTCAAAAAATTAATGGTCAGTAGTAGAAGTGGTTTCTTAGTACAGGAATTCTTTATGCCCACAGTATGGAAAGTGTTTATTAGGATATTCAGTTGGACATAAGAAGAAGGCTTACATGGACTTGATATGTCTGGTTCATGTTTGAATTTCTGCGTCAGTAGGCTATAAGTAACAGGTGATGAGTTGATGATCCTATCTTGTAATTAATGATGAGAGGTTGTACAGTGTAATAGAGTACATACAGCCTTGAGAATTAGGCAGAATTCAAGTCCCTTCATCAATCTGCATTATAGTTTTCTCATTTGACAGAATGGGTGTACTGTTGACTTGGCGTTTGATTGGAGCTTTGTTATTTTTGGAGTATTAGGAATGATAATTCTTTTTGATTCTTAGAGTTCGGTACCAATTGAGGGACAGGCATAAAAAGCTTATAGAAATCAAAAATAACAGTTTTAATGCTGATGGTTTTATTAGCTCTGAGGATGTGACTTGGATGCATGGCATTCTGTAGCTGGACTTCCAGTACAAGCCCATGTTTAGACTTTGGGCTTTTGTTTGAGAGGGAGAGTTTGTGCAGACAAAGCAAACACACACCTGAATTCCTGCCTCGCCCCCGCGGGTCCTGATGGTGGGTACCGAGAGGGGCAGGCTCGCTATCTGCCTTTGAAACGCAGGCCCCTTTACTCCTAGCACATGGAAGGGCTGAAAGGAAACTACTGGTTCCCTGCATGTAGGCAGATCTTAAAAGAAAAAGGGGAAAAGGCTGAGGCAAATAGACGCTCAGGCCCTTTTCCCAGTCCTTTAGAGAGGAAAGAATGAAAAGGGGAAAGAGGATGGAAGCTTCCTTCCACATGCCTCCAAGGTGGAATTCCTTTATCATGAAGCTGTAGGAACATGTTGTTTGAAATTACAGTGAATTAGCTCAGTTTCCCAAAGAAAATAACTAACCTCATTTTTTTTACTTTTTATATATTTTTATTTTAAAAAATGTATTTTATTGATTATACTATTACAATTGTCCCAATTTTTCCTCCTTTGCCCCCCTCCGCGTGGTATCCCCATTCCCTCCAGCATTTGTTGCCATTTTAATGCTCGTGGTTTTAATCTCCTTTTTCTTAAATAAACCCCTTTAACATTTCATGTAATAATGGCCTGGTGTTGATGAACTCTTTTAGCTTTACCTTGTCTGGGAAGCACTTTATCTGCCCTTCCATTCCAAATGACAGCTTTGCTGGATAGAGTAACCTAGGTTGTAGGTCCTTGCTTTTCCTCACTTTGAAAGCTTGCCTGTCCCTACTTGCCTGCAAGAAATCAGCTGACAGTCTTATGGGAACTCCTTTGTAGGTAACTCTGCTTTTCTCTTGCTGCTTTTAAGATCCCTAACCTTTGGCATTTTTATTATGATGTGTCTGGGTGTGGGACTCTTTGGTCCAACTTGTTTGGGACTCTCTGTGCTTCCTGGACTTGTATGCCTATTTCCTTCACCAAATTAGGGGTATTTTCTTTCATTATTTTTTCAAATAAGTTTTCAATTTCTTGCTCTTTCTCTTCTCCTTCTGGTACCCCTGTGATTCAGATGTTGGCACATTTGGAGATGTCCCAGAGGTACCTTATACCATCCTCATTTTTTTTTTAATTCTTTTTTCTTCTTGCTACTCTGGTTGAATGCTTATTTCTTCCTTATACTCCAAATTGTTGATTTGAGTCCTGGCTTCATCCCCTCACAGTTGGATCCCATTAGATTTTTCTTTATTTCCCTTAGTGTAACCTTCATTTCTGCCTGGGTGTTTTTATGCTGTTGAAGTACTCAATGAGTCCTTTGAGCATCCTGATCACCGGTGTTGTGGACTCTTCTTCTGATAGGTCGGTTATCTCCATTTTTTTTTTTAGTTCTTTTTCTGGGGTTCTGTTCTGTTCTTTAATTTGGACAACATTTCTTCCATCTCCTCAATTTGGCAGCCTCCCTGTGTTTGTTTCTGTGTATTAGGTAGAGCTGCTTTGACTCCCTGTCATAGTAGCATGGCCTATTGTAGAAAAGGCACCTGTAAATTGTGTGGGGCAGAGCCTTAGGTAATCGCCAGGGTGGGGCAACCCACTTCACCACTTTGTGGCTCTGTGTGGAGGGGAGGGCTCAGAGAAGGGACAGTACCAGGGACAGTGCCGCTGCCTGGCTTCTAGAGGTGTGCCTGGCACTCACCTGTTTCCAGTCACTTCACTTACTCCCTGCATGCCACTGTTGCCCTGGTGCTGAATCCCTGAGGAGGGTGGGTCTGCATATGTTCTAAGTCTATGTGGGCCTTTTAAGTGGAGTCTCCTGAAAATCTGGCAGTTTCTTCCGCCACCCCAACCCTCACTGGTTTTTCAGCCAGAAGTTATGGGGATTTATCTTCCTGGCACTGGAACCCTGGGCTGTGTGGTCGGGCCTGGGGCTGGGATCGTTCACTCCAAAGGTATCCCTCCTGATTTTTATCCACTACAGGTGAATGCGGGACCACCCGTTCTGCCTCTGGCACCCCTCCATGCCACACGGTGTCTCTATGACTTTCTGCCCGTTCAGCATCTCCGCCCCTGTTACCCATCTGGATAAATTCGACTTCTTCAAATCCTTGGTTGTCAGACTTCCATACACCTCGATTTTCTGACAGTTCTGTGTGTTATTTGTTTTGAAGTCTAGTAATTTTTTCTGTTGTTGCTCCAGGAGGCAAAGCGTGTTCACTGACACCTCCATCTTGACTGAAAGTCCTCACTTCATTTAATATTAGTATTCAGTACCCTTCCTTTTAACCCTAAAATATCAGTGGGGAGGGGGGACCATTCTGTTCTCTTCCACATTTGAAATATGTTAGATATGCAATGTGTTTCGCTTTATGGGGTCAGATTGTTGAACAATCTATGTAGAGAATAGGTTTGTTGCCATGACTACTGCTAGAGCTGGAACGTGCTGTTAACAATTTTATTAGTATAAACTTTATGTGAATTGTAATATCATAGTTGTGTTCTCTGTGACTGGGGTCCTGTTCAGTGGATGACTGTTGGGAAACACGTCTAGCCAAATGTGTTAGAGCATCTCCTTTTTGGATATTTAAGGAAAAACTAGCTGTGCCTCACTGAGAGGTCGCCCCGGTGAGAGTGTGCCTTCTTGGATCCCCAGTGGAACTGCAGCATGGAACACAATCCGAGGTTAATCTAACCATTTAGGTTCACTTGCCTGGTCATCCTTGTCAAGACAACCCTTCCCTTTCATACGTACCAGCCAAGAACAGTATAATATTAGAAGAAAATAAAAACACAACCAATTTCTTTATTTTTTTTGCATTTACCCTTTTTAAATTAAATTTATTAACAGCGGTTAATAGGATCATAGAAGGCCTTAAGTGCACATCGCAAAAACCTTTGATTCCTGAATAGTATAGTATAATACAAACACAACCAATTTCGTGATGTCTGTCTTGATTGTTGTAGGTTATCAGAACCCTTGCTTTTTTCTTTTCTCTTATTTGTCTTTTTCTTTAATCATTTTACTTGTAAATATTTTTTTGCAGCAACGGAAGGGGAAGGGGAAGATGAAACATAAATCAACTTTTCTATTTTTTAATCTTGTAAACATCTAGCTTGAAAATGTGTACAGAGTGCTGGGGGACCATGAGAAAGGAGTTGAAAGTATTCCAAAAAAGCTTTATTTTTAAAAAGTTGAGAATTTTATGTTTGTATATGATGACCTGGATACTTAGTTTGACCATTTGCAAGTCTTTCCAACTTTGGAATATTTTCTTTCTCAAATTAAATTTAGTGTTAATTTACTTGAACTTTTTATGGATGCCTTGTGAGGTGCATTATTTTTTTGTGGCTAATCTTTCCTTGTTTTCAATTTCAGCTGATCCTATAAAGATCCTGATGCCCTCCCTGTCTCCGACAATGGAAGCAGGGAACCTCGTGAAATGGCTAAAGAAGGAAGGTGAGCAAGTGCATTGCTAACGCCCTGTGTGATCTGATCATGTTCCTCCAATCAGTTGTGTTACTCAGTACACGCTAAATGGAACAAATCGGGTTTCTCTGCTAGTTGATTTAAGTTTTTTCAATACAGTTTTTTCAATACAGTTTTTTTCATGGTAATGTAGCAAAGGTTTCCTGGGTTCAGACTGTAACTTTTCAAAAACAGAGAATGGTAAAATATTTTATGGGATTTTTCCCCCAAGTTTTTGTCCTAATACTTAACGTTTAGTTTCAACATTATAAATTTGTCAATTCCCTAAAGTTAATTTTAGCTTTATGATGATTCTGTGTGTGTTTGTGTGTGTGTGTGTGTTTCCTGAGGCTAGACAAGGTGATTATAAATTTCATTGGAAAGAACAAATAAATAAGAATAATAAGGAAAACTCTAGAAAGAAGAGCAATGGAGGAAGACTGTTTCTCTATATTGAAACATATATTTTTAAGCCCCCTATAATTAAAACTATGGTATTGGTGTTTAAAAAGACAAATAATAGAAGTGAATAGAAAATGAGAAAATCAACAGTTGAACATGGGTATTTAATGTATAATGAAGGAAGACAATATTAGGTTTAGTGTTTGTACTCTGCCAAGGAAAGATTACAAATGGATCGGATACAAAAAATGAAACTATACAAGTACTAGAGGAAAATTGCGTATTTTTCTCACCCTAGAAGTGAAATAAACACCCTAAGTACAGCTCCAAATCCAAATGCAGTAAGAGAAATGTTGATAAATTTGATGATAAAAATCGTAACTTTTGTATGGCTGAAAACACAATAAGTAAAAGACAAGTGACAAATTGGAAAGGGATATTTGCAATCACAAAGGGTTAATATTCCTAAAATTGAGAGAATAAGGAAACTATTACCTCAGTAGAAAAATGGGAAAGATATATAAACAAATAGTTTTCAGAAGAAGAATTGCAAATTGCCTTTAAACATGAAAAGACACTTAATAAGAACTAAGCAAACAAATAGCACACTGAGGTCACATTTTTTACCAGTCATTGCAGCAGACATTAGAAAGCTTGACAAGCTGCCCAGTTGATGAGGCTGTGGAGGGAAGGGGGGAAGCAGGCACTTCCATGCATTTCTGGAGGAAACGCAAAATAGTATAAACCCTGGGAAGAGAATTTGTCAGTATCCAGGCAATTCTACTTGTAGGAATTCGGTGTCGGTCTTACACTGGCAAAAGTCATTGGGCGTCATAGCCAGCAACAGAACTAGACTTCCAGGAACTTCAGTTCATTGGAACTGCTAGATCCACAAAAGGAATGTATGTTTGGAATGATTGAACATGTAAGAGAGAAAATCGGACATACAAAGAAAGACAAACACTATCTAAAAAGTCTGGACAGATTTGAAATGACAAGTAGAATTTTTGCAAGCGAAAAACATTGTCTCTAAAGTTAAAAGTCAGAAACCCAAGGTTGGGTGAAAGTGCGGTTAAACATGACTGACCAGAGAATTCTCGAACTGAAGACCAACCTGAAACAATTAATGTGTGTGCAGCACAGAGAGATAATGTAGTAGAAAATATGAAAGAGAAGTTGGACATGAAGAATAAAGTGATGATCAATAATCCAATAGGAGGAATTCCAAAAGGAGAAAAAAAGAGGGAATGAAGAAGAAGTAATAGCCAAAGAAAAAGTGGCAGAGACTTTTCTAGAATTTGAGAAAAACATGTCATATAATTGGAACAGCCAGTGCGTCATGTGGAAGCACTTTGAGTAAATTGGCTCTGCATGGCTGTTGGCATCTTTTAAAATAATTATCAGTCTCTGAGAAAGTTTCACCTTTATAAATAATGGAATCAGTTGGAATCTATTTTTAACTTTCTTTTTTCCTGATAAATTACAGAGCTTTGGCTATTTCCATATTCAATATGATAAAGTGTTAGTGTCATGAAATAATAATTCAGACACAGAACAGCCTTTCAGGGTTATTATAAAAGGATTAATACTTTTTATACTTTGTGAACTGATAGACAGGTGGGTAAGAGGATTCTTCAGATCACATTCATCTCTCAGACTTCTAGCTCATTGGCAGTCCAATAAGTTATTCACACCCATTTGAATACAGAGAGTAGGAGGAAGAGCTCAGAGACAAATGGCCTCATTGTTCTGTTCTTTTTTTCCGTTTGATTACAATGTGCTATTTTTATATAGGAAAAGCCAAGATGTTCTGTAAGCCCATGCACATGTCTTTCTGAAGGTTGCTCTTAAAATTCTGTGTCCTGTTAAGTGAGGAGAAATGCTTATTTGCTAATACACTGTAATTAATTCAGAGCAACTTAAATCCTTGTTTCTTAGCTATTTGCTGGCTTCTTTTTAAGTTTACCACCTTTGTGGTTTAACTGAGCATAATTTACTTCTTTTTATTAGCGTTTATTTACTGTTCACATGGGTATGACTGTACATGCCTATGTGTGTTTGCTTTTTGATGTATTTATGATAACTTGGTTCATACATCCTGTATTAAAATCATTTATATTCTGGTGGAAAAGTTTTTATATACCTTTTTCTCTTATTAGCTGTGTTTTTAAAAGTTATCTTGAGATCTTTATTAATGTATGGTCACCATTTAAAACAATGAGTTTAAACCCTCAAACATTAAGATATTGGAATTTTTTTGATAGAACAGAATAGTGTTGTAGCTCAACATGAATCTGATTTGTTTTTAAGCAAAGGCTAATCCGATAACCTTTAATGGATAGCATTTTGGCCTTTAAATGCAGGGGTGTCTAACCTGCAGTGCACAGGCCGAGCGTGAGGACTTTTGCTTGTCTGTGGTGGCGGATGTCTCGAGAATTATGCACAGACCTTTGGGGTTTTTTGCTCATCCGCTTTCATTAGTGTTTGTGTATTTACTGTGTGGCCCAAAACAGCTCTTCTTCTTCCAGTGTGGCCCAGAGACACCAAAAGGATGGACACCCCTGCCAGAGTTTCTTGAAAATCTGCTACAGTTACTATTATTGAAGTCATGTGTGCTCAAACACGTGTTTTAAGCCAAGGCAATAGGAGTACAATGAAGAAAACTTCAGATGGCGTAGGAGCCAGGTTGCCTGGGGGCTTGGGCTGTGCAAATAATGTTCTTTTCTCGTGTGTGAGGACGGGAAGGGTTGGCAGACTTGCTGCCTAGGGGCCCCTTCTGCCTTCCCATGCTGCTGTAGGTGCCGATTGGATGGAATTAGCATTGCTGTTCGTTTGTTTATACTCCTCTGCAGTCAGATCAGGAATGCTTTGAAGCAGGTCTGTCTGACTGTTTTTACCGCAGTCCTTACGTCTTACACCTTGGGGCGGCTAGTAAATATTTGTTGAATGCACTGATTGAGTTATTTTTATTTTTGTCTCTGTCATGGTTGTCATGATGGTTCAACATAGCACAGAAAAGGGGTTTTTTAAAAAATGAACATTAAAGTAGGTTTGATTTATTTGGTCTTACAGATGAAAAACTAACTCTTCCCCTGCCTCTACTATTACATACATCTTTTAAAGCAGGGGTGTCAAACTCATTTTCACCGGGGGCCACATCAGCCTGGTGGTTGCCTTCAAAGGGCCAAATGTAACTTTAGGACTGTATGAATGTAACTACTCCTTAACAGTTAAGCTTGAGCTCAGCACTGCCACTGGGTAGAAACAGGGTGGAGGGCCAGTTCAGCCCACAGGCCTTGTGTTTGCCACCTGTGTTTTAAACTTTTATTAATTTTTGGCAGAACAAAATGATTTTGAGAAAGCCACAGGATGTGTTTAGGTTAATAACATAAATGGCACCATTAACTGTGTTTCGTTAAGACTCTCCTTCTTACCCAGAATTTCTGAGAGAAGGAGAAGCCTCCTTATACTCTATCATTCCTCAGCTCTGGCAGCAGCCTGCCCATCGGGACAAAGGAACAGGATGACGATGCTGGCTTCGGTGCGGGGGAGCGCCCCCCGGGTGGGCCTCTGCTCTGGCCCCTCCTGGGGCCCGCACTCTGGCTCCAGGCCCGCTCCACCTCGGCTGCACCATGAGAGGGTGGCACAGGGTCACTGCAGGGCTGCCATCTCTTCTACAACCCATCAGCCACCAACAGGGCTGCTGAGGAGCTGTCTGTCACCCCATGCCAACCTTGATGCTCTGTCCTAGCTTTTCAGTCTTTTTCCTCTCAACTGTGAACTTGTGGACAGAACCATATCTTACTGTTGTGTTTATATCCAGTGCTTTGTATAATACCTTGTACACTAATATTTGCTGAATGATCTGTTTGAAATAACAGGGTATGGACTAGGGAGCTAGAATGAGTCTTGGTTCTTAATTGTTCTTTATAACATACCTAACATTTTAATTTAAGATGTTGCAAAGTCTTATTTGAAGATGCATGTGAAAAGTAACACTTCCAGTTCTGTGATTTAAATATATATATATAGCTGCCCATTCAAAACCTTTCTGACAGAGAAATAAGTAGCTTGGTGAAGATCACTAGCAAGTGTCAGAGCTTGGACTCAAACCTGTGTCTGAGTTGCAAGAGTTCCTTGTAACTATGCCTTAACTCCTCTCTCCTGTTTTTTACCTTCTTGTCTGCCCGTATGAAGTTCTAGGTAGTTCCTTACTGCTATCTATAATTTACCCATTCACTTCACCGTGTTCATCCAGAATATGTTCTGTTGATTGTTTCTTTTTATTTTGCTTCCAAGACTTATTTCATTTCCAGGATTTCTAGTTTTTTCTTTCTGTCTGATATCATTATATTCCTGTACATTATTGTTTTTTCTATCTCTTGTTTTTGTGATGGATCTTTCTTTTCATCTGTATTTCTGAACATCCTCAAGTACTTATTTTCAAATCTTTGGCAGGTTGCACTAAATGAATTGCATCTAAAATGAACTTCTGTTCCAAATATTGATTCTGTGGTTTTCTTTCTTAGCATTGGATTTCTTCATATGTTGTGGAACTTTGTTTTGCAGTTTACTTTTGAATGGGAGGTGTTTGTGTTTTAATGACTTCCCACTTGTCCCCTACTCTTTCCCTCCCCCCACCCCCCAATCAGGAATTTTGCTGTTGATACTGGAGACATTAGCAGGTGCAGCCGTGGAGCCAGAGGCCAGCTTGGAGCTTTTCCTGGCATGGAGATGGTGTTTACTTCCCCTGCCTTCCTAGACCCACCGTGCTACCTAAACTCACAGTCGGTGTCCAGAGGTGTGGATCGCGTCTTTTACCAGCCTCCTGTTAGGAGAGAGGAACCCTGACCCTGCTTTAGGCTGAGAATCTGATTGGAGTCCCCTGGCTTCATAAGGTCGCTTTCAGTTCCCTTTACTCGAAGAGAAGCTCCTGTACTTTGCCCCCAATCTAACCTAGATCTGGAAACCAGCAAGCCGGGCCCTGCTCACCGATTCTGAGTTTCCATGCTGTTTCTGTTGCATAGAAACGTTTCTTATTTGACCTTATTGTATCTTGATTATCTCTCTTTCTGCTTAATATACTTTATTTGTGTATGCTTCCTGGTGCCAGCAGGTTTTCTGAACTCGATGTTAACCCAGAAGTGCTATTAACTGTAAAATTTTTCTCTTCGTGGAATAATAGTCAAAGTATATCATAAAGGAAGGAGTGTGGCATCTGGAATTGATTTCTTAACAGGAGGATATACATTCATTGCTGTTGTCTCCAAAATTTGATCTCATTTTTAGTATTTGCTCAGTAATCTTTGTACTTGCTTTTTTATTAGAAGAAACATTGGGTGGTGAACACACAAGGCAATATACAGATGCTGTATTATAGAATTACACCCCCTGAAACCTATATAATTTTATTAACCAGTGTTACTGCAATAACTTCAATTTAAAAAAAAATAAAAAAATATATAACTATGTCCATTATAGAGTTTCAGGAAAATACAACAGAACATACATATATACACAGGCAAACTTATTAGATACACAATGTGAATTACTTATACTTACACAGCCCAGAAATAGCTACCGAATATTTTGGTATTTATTATTCGTGTTTTACACACACACACACACACACACCCCAACACACCAACTCACACACCAAAATTTGTACTTTAAAACACAAACTAAACCCAGTCTTATCTCGTAGGTGAAGCTGTGAGTGCTGGAGATGCTTTGTGTGAAATAGAGACGGACAAAGCCGTGGTGACCCTAGATGCCAATGACGATGGCATCTTGGCCAAAATAGTGGTGAGTCTTTATTTTGATTGTTTTCAACAGGATGAAGATTTCTTAAATGTGAAGTTCCTTGAGATGAAGTGACCTTTTATTTTTACCTCGTTTTTGTAGTGTTGTATTATCTGCTACATAATACATTTTAAGTTCAGATGTACAAAATACTTTAGTGTTAAGGACTGCTGATGGCCAGTGATGACCAGACAGCAGGACACTGTTTCAGCCTTATCAGTCGTGGTGCTGAGTGTGTGGGATTCGCTAGCGGAGAAGGAGAAGGATCCTGGCGCGAGGGATGAGAGAGGGCCATTTGAGGTGGAGTTTTGAAGACAAAGAAAGCAATAGGTTAAAGCTTAGAACTAGCAATTTCGAAGGTCATCAGAAAGAAGGAATGTTTTACTCTTATCACAAGAAAATGAGAAGTCCTACCTCCGGGACCCCGGGAGCCCCAGAGCCGCCAGTGTGAAAGTCGCAGTCTGCTCCGCGCCTGCCCCCGACCAGGCTGTTTTCAGACGTCCTGTGAGGTCCCGTCTGCAGGTCTCATAGCCACTCTCACTGGCCTGGCTAAATTCTCACTCCTTCTTACAATTTAGGCGTTTTTATCATCATTTAAAATTATATGTTTATATAAAAACGTGTATATAGTATTCTGTATACGTAAATGTAGCTGACAGTCTGTTGATGGTGTATTTTCTGTTGCATATGCATTTTTATGGAAAATGTGCTTGTGCCTCTAGGAAGACCACTCATTTCCTTTTAGGCCTAAATTTAAGTATATGCAGTTGTTAAACAAAGACATTTACTCGCCCAAAGGTTTTTATAAAAGAAGGGTTTCATTGAGCCAAATGCTAGCCAGAGAAAGGACCAGGTCCTGGGGCAGGAAGTCTGAACCACCAGCAGCAGGGCTGGAAGGAGCTGAAGGGCTCTCACACGAACGGTTTGAGGAAGGAAGATGTAAGTCATTTTGAAATAATTTGCATTGGCTGTAGATGGAAGGGGTGGGAGAAGGTCGAGAAGAGCTAGTTCTGGGCTAAGTGCATAGTCCCTTAGGAAGAAGTGTTTGTTCCTGTGGATTGGCTGTGGGCAGGCAACAGTCCAGAAAGTTCAAGCACGAGGGAGAAGGGAGGCGGAGCACCTGGGAGGCTGCTGGGTCTTTCTCTTCAGATGATCCCGGAATAGCCACCTGGAGGGTAAACCAGAGTTGCAGGGTTCACTCGGGAGTGTAAGCAGTCTTCTGTTGGTTTTGCCCCGTAGTTGTTCATTGGTTAACCCCTCCCCAGTCTCTGGTCTCTCCCACTCTGGGGCCTGCCGTCACAGTCATTTTGAGAGCTCTTCTCTGGGCAGCCTTTACTTCCTGATTTAAAATGGGGAGCAGCATGTTGGAGACTCTAGTGGTTTAACTAGACCCTGAAGTTAGGACATCCCGTCAAACAAAATGGGTAGCAATGTAAGAGAGTTTACTTAACGGAAGAAAAGAATGTCCTTAGCCATTAAAAATAATCTCCATTAAAAATGTGATTTCTTTGTATATGTTATACATTAATAAATACTCAAAAATTTTGGGAAATTATATGTAGACACTGATTATAATCTTAAGACTACACAGAAAATATAAGTATAGAAAAGAATAAAATGTCATAAAAACATTGAGTGTTTATCTTTGGTGAGTGGAACCAAGTCCACTTGGTTCCCTTCTTCATTTTTCTTACAGTTTCTAAATTTTCTGTACTAAGCATATTATTTTTAAGATGGAATATTAGAGTCTATGTGAAAAGTAAGTAAAGTGCTTAAAGCCTGACTCTTTAGGGTTGCATGGACATGGTCTATTCCCTGGTGCTGCATGTTTGTTTCTTAACCTCTGGAACGTTTAGTAGATAGTGTGGTGCAGCAGCTATGGCCGTAGGCTCGCTGCCTGGCTCATGCAGCTGATGAGGCGCACCAGCTATTCACCGTGTAATGATTGGCAACATCTTCTGCTTCTGTCTGCCTTTTTCTTCATGATCACGTGGAGATAATAATAATACCTACGCCATGGGGAAATAGTGGAGATTCAATGAGGGAACAGATGTGCTGTCATCACAAGACCTGTCACCCACCAAGTGTCGATAGATGTTGCTCTTCCCATCATTGTAATTATTCCCTCAGCTCATGGTGACCATTAGATCCCATGCTTTCTGTATGTTTGTCTAAGGAATCGTGACTAGATGCCAAGTATCCGTGCCTCTACAATGTGATTTGTACAGATAAGCTGCACATCTGTCGGTAGTCCTTTGTCAACATGTCTTTAATTCTGAAACTCCAGCTCGCCTCTGCCCTGAGCAAGGACGGAACGCCTTCCTTTGTGTGTCCTATGCAAAGAGCGCACTTGGAAATGCTGTACTCCCATTAGACATAGGTCCACACACGGTTTTCACCTGTGTTTCTTACCAGAAAATCCTCTTTCCCTTTTTTCTGGGTGCTTCTATTTTATGTTACGTTCTAATTTACCAAACGTCCTTCACTTGTAATCCACAATATTAGTAGCCATTTAAAACACACTGTTGAAAATGTTTCCTTGAAGGAAATATGAACAGGCAGCGAAATTTCTTTCCCTTTTATAACTAAGTGCAAATATGTCACCTAGCAGCTATGATTGTAGGCTTCAGAAATATAAATAGCCATACAAAAATAGTTTCTTTGACTAATTTATGCAGCATTTCCGGAAAGAAAAAGGTTGTTTGAACTGCCATAAGTAATAAGCCCAAGTACAGTTTATTGTGTGTGCTTTTGGCAAGCTGTGTTCCTGGCCCTAGACTGTCTGGATTGTTTGGCTATGAACACCTTCCAGAGCTGATAGCATTTTCCAGTTAGCCGGTTAGCAGTGCATTTCAGATGGCCAACAGTGCCGTGGGTCAGCACAGCCTGTTCATCTGGCCCCCTGGTGCTCTGGGGAGCAGTGGGAGCGTGATTGATAGCAGCTTTAGTGGCACAAATAGCTGTTTTCTTGCCAAAGAAAAGATTGTATGTATATTTTAAGGCTTTATGGCTTTATTATCATTTCACATGCTTTTGGAGTAATAGAAATGGGAGTATATTAATGTCACAGTGTGCAATTTACTGGGAGGAAAATGGAAAAAAAACCCGAGGTGATATTACTGGTTGGTTTATTTTTTTTCAGCCTTTCACCCTACTCCATTTCCAGCCCTCCAACCCTGCATAAGCAAGTTGTACATAAGCAAATTCGTCTTTCATTGTAGACAAATTCTCATATTAGCATAAATGATAAAATGATTTTATAGGAATACATAAAAGATTTTACTTTCAGAATCAAGGAGTTGGATAATTGAGCTTATTAAAACCAAGAGATGATATAAAACTCTAGTTTTTAAGTTTTCCTACATTTGTGAAAGTGTTGGAAATTATATCTTATTTTGGTAATCACAGGGATTTATTTTCACAGTCTTTTAAGGGTTTTTCATTCCCCTCCCTCCAGTTTGATTTCTTCTTTGTATTCACTCTTATAATATTTGCATCTGAATTCCATTTTAAATATAAAATAATAATATTTATTGCATTTCACCTAGAACCAGGGAAAAAAGTTTAGAAGCTCTTAATGTTAATAAAGAATATTTGCTGTCAGTTTAAATAATTTTATTATTTTTTTTCTAATTAAGTTCAGTTAATGGGAAAGTTAAATTCTCATTTAATCACTAGTAAATTGTTGAGCAGAAAACCTTAAATTATTACACACATATTAGTGAATAAGCTTAAATTTATTATTCAGCAATTGGATGGCAAGTGTTTTAAATGATGAATTAATAAAAGAATATTAGGATGACATATTTAGAGAGTTTATTAGAGATTGTCTTCAATCAGTTTCTTAGCTGTATCTCTGATACTATGTCAATGGTGTTTTCTAAAGAATTTTTTTAATATGATTTTATTTTATTGTTTGGTAGTCCCCCTTTATTTTTTATTAAATTCCCAAAATTGCATTCAAAGTTGCATTTTATAATTTGAAAGTTTATGGTTGAAATTTGAACTTGTGAGAATTTCAATTAGTTCTTCTCTGTGGCCTAACATTTCTAATTGAGAAAATACCCTCTGAAAGCTCATAGCAAATTCTATTAAATGGAAGATATTCTCAGCTCTGATTTTTCCCTTTTGAAATGGTAAGTGAGCCTTTGTTCCCAAAGAATTAAAAACTAAATCAGTTATAATCTACTTTACAGCTTCTCTTTTTTTTTTTGATAGAATACTGAATTTTACATTTTTTGTAAGATTTTTTTTATTTATTTCTTTTTAGAGAGGGAAGGGAGGGAGAAAAAAAGAGAGAGAAACATCAATGTGAGGTTGCTGGGGGCTATGGCCTGCAACCCAGGCATGTGCCCTGACTGGGAATCGAACCTGCAATGCTTTGGTTCGCAGCCCGCGTTCAATCCACTGAGCTATGCCAGTCAGGGACAGCTTCTCTTTTAAGCTCGTTTTTAAAAATGGTAGCACCATCCTGAGGTGCTGTGTGGTCATTTGATCATGTGCATGCTGTTGAGGATTTGGTGCTGACTGAGTTGAATGCCAGCAGGAGGGTGTGCCAGACAGCAGTGAGCTCGATGCCCTATAGCCTTGTGGTCTTGAGCACCTAACATGGTTATGCCTCAGTTTCCTCATCTGCGAATGGCAATGATAATAGCACTTAACCCCATAAGATTATTAGGAGAATTAAATGAGTTAAATCTGTGCTAGAACAGAGCCTGGCACTTTGCCAGGAAGGGCGGACAAACCTTTATTCGAAGACCTACTGGGTGTTTCTTCGGCTCCTCACGGCTTACCTGGTCTTGTCATTGATTTGCTTTCAGCTTCAGTGGTTCTTACTTATGTTCCTTTTACACCCAAGTTCATTGTGCACATAAGTTAATCATTACATGTTAAAGAATAAAACCTTTGAAACCGTGGTGGCAGATCTTTATTCCTCTTTCAAACCACTGGGTCAGCCCTGCGACTCAGCTTATGTCCACCAACCACAGTGCAGGCTCCGTCAGCACTCGCTTGGCAGCTCTCGAGTGTTCCACTTTTAAAAAGAAAAATATTTAAATAATTGCTTAACTAACTGATTGTTTTTTAATGTCAGAATCAAAACACTGTATTTACCAGCACTTAGGTGGAATGAACCACCTCAGACAGTTTTCTTGTTGAGAAATATTGCTGTAGCCACTCTGTCTGTTCATTTCCTGTCCTGTATTGGTTCACCAATGGGCTTAGGTGGCCGTTTTGAGCATGTTTGCAGGTGGTTTATGTCAAGTCCGTGGAGATGTTTCTGGTAAATAGCCCCTTCGTGGAGGTCATGCCTTGGGAGAGAATTCAGCCTCTGTAGAGTATTGTGGGAAACTAGTTTGTCACAGGTCTTACTTCTGTGGTCTCATATGTTGCTGTTTACTCTCTAATACTTCCAGCCTTGCGGTCGCTGGGCCTTAAGGTATGAATGTCCAACCCTTACCAAGGGACACTCCTCTGTAGTCTAATCTTGATCCGTGTTGAGTATATTTTTGTTTTAAAACAGTAACTTGGAGTAACAGTAACTTGTTATACCAATATAATAATAATAATAATAATAATAATAATAAAAAATACCTACATTTATGCAGTGGTTACCAGATTTCTGGCACTGTTTTTTGTCTTATATCTAGCTCATTTATTTCCTCATAACGACTCTGAGTAGCGACTATTATTATTTCCATTGCAGACAAGGAAACAGTCATGGTGAAATAAAGAAACTTTACTAAGGTCACCTAACTAGTAAGTAGCAGAGCCAGCATTAAAACCAACGAAGTCTGTAGAAGAATAGGTGTGAATGCTAATACATTGAATGGCAAATTCCAGATCCAGTATTTCAGCATTAATCAGCAGTTTCAGCAGGGCAAAGTATAAAAATCCTGCATTTCATATGGAGAAATCAGAGGCACAAGAAGAGGAGAGCATTTTGGTGAAGCAGCCAGGCACCTGGGAAAAGAACTGGGCACTGTGGTGGGGTCGCGTGCATCCACCGTGCTCGCTCAGAGGGAGCAGTAACGAGGGCTCTCTTGTTTGGTTTCTAAACACGACTTGGAAGGAGCATTATTTACTCTTCTGTTACTAAGCCTTCCCCAATTTTAAATATTTGCTGACTGCAACATAAGCAAGCTAGTCTACAGGAAACTAGCACACCTCTATTTCTCAGGGAATAAAGTCAGAGAAATGATCTTAACTTCATTTAGTGATTTTAATGACTTTAAATTGAACTACAGATAGACTTTATTTTCATTTAACTTCTGCAATATATTCAAGTTGTGTGGTAGTACACACTTGGCCATTATATTTGGGTATCATTCTTCATGCTGTCATTTTTTAATGGGAAAAATGTGAGTAGTTAAAAATAAATTGTACTTAATATTTAGATATGATAAAAGTTGAAATGATACCAAATGCTCATTGCCTCCTTGTGAAGGTATCAGTTGATATGGGAATCATTTTTATGATTTATTATAGATAAAACAGTTGAGGTGTCAGTTTTAGATTTGATATAGTATCTGATTCAGATTTCAGAAATCCATTGATATTTTTTCAACACAACTTTCCTTTCAAAGAATGCTTTGCATTGGAGTGACATTCTTTGTACTTGGGTATTGATCCTGCTTCTGGTTCACCATTGATAGGAATTAATATCAAGTGGACTCTATATCGCTTAGTGTTTTTTTAATCGATTTTTTAAACATGAGCTATTATACTTCGTGGTTTTGAGTTAGCAATTGATAAGCAGGTCATTAGACATTTTTAGAAGAAGACGAAATGTTAATTGAATGATAATCTTAACCCATCTTTGTGATGTAGTGAGGACAATAAGCAGCCCAAAGAAGCAGAACTTCAGTGTGTGACAAAGCACTACACACACTGTTCTTAGGTCTTTTAGTATTTTGCACGGCTTGCGATTCCTTCAACGTCCTCTGAGTTTTACACACAGTTCCTATGTGTACTTGGCCTTACCAAAGCCGTTGTTTCGCTCCTTCTCCATCAGTCATTGGTAACTTAGAAAGACTCCTTACTCCTGGGACTTCTGTCCTGTTGCTTTAAGAGTAGTGCTCACGCTAATCAGCATCAAAATTAGCGTCACTCAGAAATGTCAGTCTCATTTTAGGAGTTTATTTATAATTACTCTATTGGTCAGCATCCTGCAGCCTGTCATTCAATTATGCATCAAATTACATCTGTAGTGAACCTTATTTAAACTAATTGAAAGGCAGTAATAGCAAATTTTAAAGGAATGACATTTTCTTTTGTTACTGAACTGATAAAATATTGTCATCTGAAGGTTCTCCAGGGACTTTTTAAAATTAAATAAGAATCGATTCTTTAAAAATGAATTAGTACTACTGAAGCACTTAAAATATGTTTATCTTAAGCTTTATCTTTAGCCTTATTTACACTTTTAAGTGGCGTTATCTGGAGGTGCGTTTGCTCAGTGGAGACACCACCACGTTTCTGGTGTCCTCATGAAAACGCCTACGGTTTTGTTGTGTCTCGGGTTTGTGAATAGGCACAGAGAGAGAGATGGAAGCTGCACTTAACATTGACCAGAGTAGTTAACCAGTTCTGTCTGTACAATGAGATGTTAGTTATTCTAGATCAAGTCTACTGAAAATATTTTCTTTAAATTAGTTTTAGTAAGTAAATAGATCCTGTTTGGGGGAATTAATCTCTTAGGAGTTCTTGGAATTCTGAAGCCATTGTATAGAAACCCTGAGAAAGATTACCAATAGCTGAGATATGTAACCACTGTCTAGTTTGGGGTTAAGAAGGAAGACAGTCATAGATATGTCTTATATATTTAAAGCCTGCCAGAAAGAGGGGAGATGTGTGTGTGTGTGTGTGTGTGTGTGTGTGTGTGTGTGTACATGTGCGTGTACATGTGCTATTTCAGGAGAGAGCATCAGTAACTGGGAGGGGGAAGTGGTAAAGGAAGGTGTAACTGTGGGAAGGTAGGAAAGGAAGGTGGTGAGTCGGGGTGGGGGGAGGAAGCAGATTTTAGCTCAAATTAAGAGATTAATGAATTGTCCAACAAAGGAATAAACTGTTTCATGAGGTCATGAGCCTTTCCATCTCTGCAGTTATTTTCTTTCTAAAATATAGGTTGAAGAAGGGTCTAAAAATATACGGCTGGGTTCACTAATTGGTTTGCTAGTTGAAGAGGGAGAAGACTGGAAACATGTTGAGATTCCCAAAGATGTAGGTCCTCCAGCAGCCGCTTCAAAACCATCAGCACCTCGCCCCTCGCCAGAACCACCAATTTCTGTCCCTGTCAAAAAGGAACACACACCAGGGAAATTGCAGTGAGTATGTTTATTTGAATGATGTATAAAAAAGAAATATGCTATGGCAACTTGTAGAGTACTTTGATCATATAATATTTAGAACATCTTTGTACATTAAGTAGAAGGTGCTGACCTTCCCTTTTTTCTCTTAGGAAACTGAGACTTAGGAATGAGTACTTTACCTTCATTTGTTCATTCAACAAACAAATAGGTATTGAATGAATGCCTGCCATGTTCCAGGTACTGGGCACGCCCTGTACATGTTCACACTGAACAGAGTGGAATTCAATATATAAAACTTCCTGTTGTGTCCCATTCATGGGTTATAATTACTGTACTATGGGTACCACTTTTAAATGTGTAATTGATCATGAAATTAGCATTTTAACATGTGTTCCTTTTCCAGCTATTTTGCATTTGAGTTTGGGAGAGATCAGAGCTTTGTTTTGTCTAGTTGTTCTGTAACAACACAGATACTTAGTAAACATCATTTTACTTTAGCTTTACATAGCTTTAATTGGTGGACTCTGAAAATTCTGACAAGTTTCACTTATTTAATATTCTCTATAATATAAATAACTTTATAGGAAAAAGTTATTTGTAGAGAAAATATCCTAAAAACCACTTTTGAACTTGAATAAAACCCTTCCATTTTTTTAGTATTTTTTTCTTTAGTTTACCATTGTCAGTTCTTGTCAGAAAAAAAAAGTGTTTTTGAAGTAGTGAGTTTTAAATTCCTGTTATCACACAGTATTTCTGACTCCATGGTCACAACTCCCTTTATTTTCTCCTTTTCACCATGAAGATCAGAAGGTAGGGGTTCCCGGGCGTCTTGTGCCTGGTGCTCTCCTCCCCTGCATGGATAACGGGTGTGCTCTCTCTGGTGCCACTCATCTTCGGAGAAACGTAGGTCTGAGGCCCCAGAGTGCGGGTTACGAACCAGCTGACTGAACCTGCTCAGCGTTGGCCCACACAGTGATTTTCTTTCTTTAAAACATTTCGAATTGGCCAGTTACTAGTCAATCTTACATAAAAATCAAAAATAATTTCAGTGAAGATTGGGTAGCACTGAGTCCGTATCAGCTAGAGCATTTTCCCAGACTCGCAGCTCGTGCACCTGCAGCGCGGAACAAAATGAAGTTGTTCCAGTTCATTTCTAAGTTACAAACTTACAGACTCAACTCCTTTGACTGGTTTTCTTTATCTGACGGTGCAGCCCTTTGTGTTCGCCACTGTGTTTTTAGGGCTCCGTGGAAGAACAGACACTCACTAGTCGTGTTACCTTTCACTGAGCCTCAGTTTCCTTGTCTATAGAATCGGCATGATTGTTTACCCCCTCTTTTACTCTTCTAGAGTGTTTGCAAATTACAAAATGATTTCATATAGATTTCATTTGCTCATGTAGAGCAAATACGTGAAAGATACAATTCAAGCACAACAAAATAAACAACCTGGTGAGAATAGGCCAAGGTCCCAAGTACACCTTTTCTCCAGAGAAGATGTGCAGATGGCCAGTAAGCACATGAAAACTGTCCAGTATCACTGAGTATTAGGGAACTGCAAATCAGAACTATAGGGAGATACTACGTCACACTCGTTAGAATATCTGTTATTTTTTTAAGAAATGCTAGACAATGACCCACGTTGACAAGGATGTAGAGAAATTAGAACTCCTATGCACTATTGGTGAGAATGTAAAATGGTACAGTTACTACCTGGGGAAACAATATGGCAGTTGTAGTTCCTCAGAAAGTTAAAAGTAGAATCACCCTATGATACAGCACTTTCTCTTCTGCATAAATACTCAAAGGAATTGTTGAAAGCAGGGACTCAGAGATACTGGACACTCGTGTTCATAAAAGCATTATTTACTGTGGCCGAAAGGTGGAAACAGCCCATGTGTCCAAAAAGTGCTATATGCATGCAATGGAATGTTATTCAGCCTTAAACGGAAGGAAATGCTGACACACACACCACCCGGATGAACTTCAAAGACGTTATACTAAGTCACATAGGCCACTCATGAAAGGACAAAGACTGTGGTTTCCACGGGCTACCTCGAGGGGCAGAGTTACAGAGACAGAGGGCAGAGGGGTGGTTGCCCAGTGTGTGGAGAGGGAGAAACGGGGAGTTCCTCTTTCCCAGCAGTTTCTGTCCAGGGAGAGGAACAGGTTCTGGAGAAGGACGGTGGTGGTGGTTGTACAACCGTGAGGTCGTACACAGTGCCACTCAGTTCTACACCTAAAATGCTTAAAATGGTAAATTGTAAGTATATTTTATCACAAAAAATGAAGGAATGTTACAGTTACTTCCTTATTTATCTGTCGTGAGCCATGTGAAAAGTAGAAACTCTCTCCTTATGAACATTTACCCTTAAAAGAATAGTTTGAAATAGTAACTAGTTAAATTTGTATGAAAATTTTGATCTAGTAAAAGAAACCAGATTAGTGCAGATTAATTTACTTGTGACTATTTTAGCTTTATTATGCTTTTATTTTTTAAATTATTAGCAAAGCTGCTGACATTTAGATATATTTGAATCAAATATGAGTGTTAATTGAGTCCTCTAACCTTCATGTTTTCTTCTTAGGTTCCGTTTAAGTCCAGCTGCCCGTAATATTCTGGCCAAACACGCACTGGACGCCAGCCAGGGCACAGCCACTGGGCCTCGGGGGGTCTTCACGAAAGAGTACGTGAGTGCTGCTTGTAATAACCAGTTTTGTTACTTATCAAGGTTGTTTTTTTCTAGAAGTATTTAAAGAAGAGCTTGTTCAGTGTTAAGATTTAAAAGAAAGTACACTGGTTTTTGTATTTTTATTTTTGTCTGTATAAAAGTGTGTTCGATGCAAGGGTGGTTTTCTGAACAATTGCAGCATTACTCAGGAATAGCTCTAAGTTGATAACTAAGCTACATCCTTAAAAATGGTTATAAATGCAGAGTAGTGGAACTTTGTATTGTTTTATATTTGTATTAAATAAACATGAACTCACATTTAAATTTCTAAAACATGGAAATAATCTTTTATTTTTTAATATACTTTATTGATTATGCTACTGCAGTTGTACCATTTTCCCCCTCTTTATTCCCCTCCACCCGGCACCCCCCACTTCCACCAGCATCCCCTCAGCCCCTTAGTTCCTGTCCATGGGTCATACATGTAAGTTCTTTGGCTTCTCCATTTCCCATACTATTCTTAACCTCCCCCTGTCTATTTTGTACCTACCATTTATGCCTCTTATCCCCTGTACCTTTTCCCCCATTTGCCCCCATCCCTGCTGATAACACTGCATGTGATCTCCATTTCTGTGATTCTGTTCCTGTTCTGGTTGTTTGCTTAGTTCGTTTTTGTTTGGGGGTATTTTTTTTTTAGGTTCAGTTGTTGCTAGTTGTGAGTTTGTTGTCATTTTACTGTTCATGTTTTTGATCATCTCTTTTGCTTAGATAAGTCCCTTTAACATTTTATATAATAACTGCTTGGTGATGATGAATTCCTTTATCTTTTATCTTACCTTGGAAGCACTTTATCTGCCCTTCCATTCTAAATGATAGCTTTGCAGGATAGAGTAATCTTGGATGGAGGTCCTTGCCCTTCTTGACTTTGAATACTTCTTTCCAGCCCCTTCTTGCCTGCAAGGTTTCTTTTGAGAAATCAGCTGACAGTCTTATGGGTCCAACTTCTTTGGGACTCTGAGCTTCCAGAATTTCCTGGAAGTCTATTTTGTTTGCCAGATTGGGGAAGGTCTTCTTCATTTTTTTTTTTTCAAATAAGTTTTCAGTTCCTTGCTGTTCTTCTTCTCCTTTGGCACTCCTATGATTCGGATGTAGGAACATTTAAAGTTGCCCCAGACTTTCATAAGCCTCTTGCATTTTTTTTGAATTCTTGATTGTTCATTCTCTTCTGGTTGAATGTTTAGTTCTTCCTTCTGGTTCAAACCATTGATTTGAGTCCCGGTTTTCTTCCCTTCACTGTTGGTCCCCTATATATTTTCTCCTTTATTTCACTTTGCATAGCATTCACTTCTTCCTCTATTTTGCAGCTGTATTCAAGCATTTCTGTGAGCATCCTGATTACCAATGTTTTGAACTCTGCATCTGATAGATTGGCTACCTGTTTGTTGCTTAGTTCTGTTTTTGGAGTTCTGATCTGCTCTTTCATTTGGGCCATATTTCTTTGTCTTGCAGTGCCTGTTACATTGTAAGGGGTGGAGCAACCCACGTCTCTGTGTTGTGACTCTGTATGTGGGGGAGGAGTAAGAGAGGGAACAATGCTGTGTGCTTGGCTCTTGGCCAGCTTTCTGTCACTTCCCCTGCTACCCACAAGCAAATTGGGCCCTCTGGTGCTGATTCCCGTGTGGGTGTTTTGTGTACATTTTAGGACCCTGTGTGGGTCTCTCCAACAGACTGTCCTTTGAGGCTGGGAGTTTCTCCCTCCACCACAACTCCCACAGGTTTTTACAGCTAGAGATTGTGAGGCTTTATTTCCCTGCGCTGAGCCCTGGGTTGTGTGGTCTGTCTTGCTCCCCAGTTGTTCCTGCCAGTTTATCTGCACCCAAATGTGGGACCACCCAGTCCTCCAGCTGACACCTTGCTGTGCGTCCTCTCCGCCCGCACTGCCCATCTCTGCCCCTCCTGCAAGTCTGAATGAATGTTTCTTCTTAACTCCTTGGTTGTTGGACTTCCATACAGTTCAGTTTTCTGGCAGTTTTGGGTTATTTTTTGTTTTTAAATTTGGTATTGTCCTTCTTTTGGTTGTGCAAGGAGACAAAGACCATGTACCCACGTCTCCATCTTGGCCAGAAGTTCAAAATATTCTTTTAAAAACAATTTTATTCTTATCTGTTTGGATTTTACACTTGTATGATCAAAGTAATTTGCAAATACAGTTGGGTCTTTTTTTGGATGTCCTTTTCCACTTTGTCTCTAATTTTAATACCACAGTCTTAATTCTTCCACATGAATTTTAAACAGTTTGTGTAGCCCCACTGGCAGGGTTTGGCAGAGGACATATGGTATTTTTATTGGGCAGAGTCACATTTTCAATTAACTTAGAACTGGCATCATTTTGATGTTGTCTTCCCTTTAAGAACGCTGATATGTCTTTTCATGTGTTTAAATTTTATGTCTTTCAAGAGTGTATGGAAATAGATGTGCCTGCTCTATGGAAACGTATTCTAGTGGGAAGACAAAGATCAGTCAGATAGGCCTATGAACTGACGGAAGGCTGCTGTGGTTGTGCCACTTTTATTTTGGCAGTCATATTAAAGTTTTCAAATTGATTTAATGTTTTAAAGCAATTTGCTTAATTCCGTTTGTCTAATTTATGAGAATTGATGACTTGACATATTTAAGAATCTAATTATATCTTTTTATAAAAGATTCCTTTGTTTTACAGAGTAATACAAAGGCAGATCTATTACTAGTTTAGTGACTTTCATTCTAAATGATGTCGTGGGTTAGGTTTATTATGTTAGGTTATGCTGGTAGCTTATTAAGCAAAGTTAGTAATGGGGTGATTTTCTCTCCCTAAACAAGCTAATTTGAACTTAACAGTTACTTAATAAATATCCTAATGAAAGTCATAGGTACAATAAACATATTTTCTGAGTGCCTTGAGAAAATTATTTCACAAGTATAAGTGTGTGATTTGATTTATGAATTGTTCATTTTCCAGATGACACCCCCCACAAAAAGACTGATTTCTTTTTTGTAAAAATAACTATTGAATATATATATACCCAATACTTTGATAACATTCTAATTGTTGTTCGGTTTTTGAAAATGTACAAATACTATAGCCATTGAACAAATAATATGAGTCAGCAGACCAGGAGACAAGATTTACCTGTCTATCTCAAATAATTTATTTTGCATTATAGCCTTGACATGTATATATTTTTGTATCTTCCCTCCACATCTCATCTCCATTTTCTAGAAGTTTTATTGTAGGTCTTAGGGCTAATCGTGGCTCTCTAATTCCCTCTTATCTCTAGGGATGCCCTCAAGCTCGTCCAGTTGAAACAGATGGGCAAGATCCCTGAATCCAGACCGACCCCGGCCCCTCCAGTAACCCCTGCTGCACCTTTGCCCTCACAGGCCACAGCCAGGCCATCTCATCCCCGGCCGATGATCCCAGCAGTGTCAACCCCTGGACAGCCTAACGCAGCGGTAATGTCATCTGAGCACATTTTTATTTTTCAGATTTCAGTGGGAGAGAAAATAAGCACTATTACTGTATTTTAGCCATCTGTTTTAGTAGCAGCTAAGAATGATAAAGACAAAACTCTCCAAATGCTCTGTGTTGCAGATTTCCTAGGACAAATCAAATTTATTCGTGCAGTGCTAACTTACAGAAGGAACATTAGAATTATGATTCAATTTAAATTTACTACAAGTTCTACAACTTCAGTACCATATATGTGCTCTATAATCACAACACTCTTCGGGTCTTTTTTCTTGGGTGTGGCACCAGTAACTGGTAGCTGACGCTAGCTCCCTTTTGTGGATGTGCTTTATTTTTTGATTAAGGAAACTGATGGTCTTCTATGAAAAACCACAGAGACCATAGCTAATCATGTTTTTCTTCCGAGGTGTATGCAGTGTAACAATCCTTTTTTGTTTTCAGATTGCTCCATTTTTCTTCTCAGCCTTACTTGCCTAGGTTTCGTGTCACTTCCTTCCCATCAGAAGAAGTGCAGGATAATCTGGTTTATTTAATGTTGCATGGGCACTTAAAAAAATAAGAAAATAAACAGACAGAGACAAACCTACACTGCTGTTTCTAATGGAGAAATATACTTCAACATAATACCTTTAAAAGAATTGAAAACAGTACAAGTTTCATAGGAAACAGATTTTTTAATATACATTAATGATTTATGAAAAAAGGGTATGTGTAATAAAATCTTATTTCTTCAAATAGTAAGTTATTCAGCCCTGGCTGGTATGGCTCAGTGGGTTGAGCCTTGGCCTGCGGAACCAAGGGGTCGCTGTTTCAATTCCCAATCAGGACACATGCCTGGGTTGCGGGCCAGGTCTCCAGTAGGGGGCGTGTGAGAGGCAACCACACATTGATGTTTCTCTCCTCTTTCTCCCTCCCTCCCTCCCTCCCTCCCTCTCTGTCTAGAAATAAATAAATAAATAAATAAATAAATAAATAAATAAATAAAATCTTTTTTTTTAAAGTTATTCAAATTAGGAAGATAAACCTTACTTTCAAATTCTTACTGTATGGAGATATATATCACTTGTCCCATTTGATCAAGTACCTTGTTAACCTAAAATATTTGATTCCAGAAGAGCCCACTTGTTAAAAAAGAAATCAACTGTACTTTCTGCCTCTTTGTATTATCCTGAGGTGATTGCAAGCCAGTCCCAGAGTGGTGTGAAGAACAAAGAAAGAATTAGATGTAATTTAAGGTCCATCATGGTTTTGTTAGAAGTTCAAAGAAGAGAATGGAAACACTACATTAAAATCACAGGAGGATTTAATTATCTCATTCACACTTTATATTTTGAATTTCTAGGAAATAAGACACTCGTGTGATTTTTTTTAAAGAAAATGACAAACCAAAATAGAAATAATTCGGTAGATTATTAAATATATTATTTTTTTCTATTGTATGCTATTTTTACAAATAAGAATTGTTTTTAGTTAATTTGTTCACATGTTGGCTGCTTTGAGTGTTATTAAAAAATGAAAAATGATGTTTATAACAAAAGCTGGTTTTAGGTGGCATCTCTGGAGTGTGTGTGTGTGTGTGCACGCACACTCATCCATGGGGAATTATTCATGATTTGTTAGATTTCTTTTAATAATCTTAAACATAGTGTGACATAAGAAGCCCCATTTACAACTGAAACTGGAATTTTTCCACTTTTCTCTACAGTCATATGCTGTGAAGTTTTTTCTACAGTTTTATACTGTAACAGTAAAACTCCTCAGATTTCTTACATTGTCTCTTATACTAAGAATTTTAATAGTACTTTTTCTATATTAATCTTTAATTATTAATTATTATCCTAAGTAACTGAGACCTGGTTTCCATTATGAAGTTTGTTTTTTTCCCCCTTCCTTTTATGGTTTAATGGACAGATTGCTATTTTTCTGCAGGGCACCTTTACTGAGATCCCGGCCAGCAACATTCGAAGAGTTATTGCCAAGAGGTTAACTGAATCTAAAAATACTATACCTCATGCGTATGCTACTGCTGACTGTGACGTCGGAGCCGTTTTAAAAGCTAGACAGAAACTGGTCAAAGGTTAGTAAACTGAATTTACTTAATGCAATACACATGCTAATGATCACGAAATCCTTTATAAAATGCACGTTGTGTAGCTTTTTATTTCAGTTTTATCATCTGGGCATGTTTTAGTGCTAGAGAAAAGAATTGGTTTTCTTATAAGAAGTAAATTGGCCCCATAGTATTATAAATACTACTTTTCATCCTTTTGGTATGAATAAATCATACTTCTCGGTGTGCTACGTATGTGAACAAAGCAGTCCTTAACATCTTAGAAAGTACAAAATCCAAAACTGGTTTAAGAATGTTTTAGATTATAAATATGTCTTAGATACCATTCTTCTTGATACAAGTTTTAATTTTTTAACAACTTCCTCAGAACGCATTTTAGGTTATTAAAATTGAAATGTTTCTCCCAAAAATGACTTAAAATTAAGGTTGCTGACAAACATAAGAATTTTTAGCATAAACTGATACATCATTACTTTCCAATGTATATGGCTTTTATTTCATTTTCTTGCCTTACTGCGCTGTCCAGGGCCTCTGTTACAGTGATGAATGTGGGTGGTAAAAGCAGACGTTCTTGCCTCGTTTTTGACCTTGGAAGAAAAAGCATTTAGTGTCTAGTGTTATCTGTAGGTTTTTGTAATTTCTTTTTTCAGGCTGAAGAAATTCACAGTTGGATGGGTGTTGGATTTTGTCAAATGCTTTTTGTGTATCTTTCGAGATAATCTTTCCTTTTCCTGTCTGTTAATATGGTGAATTTTATTGGTTGATTCCCAAGTAGTGAAGTTGTTTTGTTTATATGAGTGATTGCTTGTAATGAGTGAATAAAACTCATTTGATCATTAATTTTCTCATAATTGCTTGATTCCATTTTCTAAAACTGTCTGAGAATCTTTACACTTGTGTGCACGAGAAATTCTGACCTGTAGTTTTCTTCTATTGAGATGCTTTCGGGAGGCCAGGGCGGGGGTTGTTATCAGGTCTAACAGAATGAGCTGGGAAATTTTTTTCCCTCCATTATTTTCTGGAAGAGTTTGAGTAGAATTGGTTTTATTTCTAAATGTTTGGTAGAATTTACCAGTAGGGCTATTTAGGCCTGTGATTTTCTTAATGAGAGGATTTTTAACTCAAATTTATTTTTTTAAATAGATGTGAGTTATCTATTTCTTCCTCTTTTTTTTTTTAATTTCTTCTTGAATCAACTTTGGTAGTTTGAATCATCCAAAGAATTTGTTTATGTCGTCTGAGTTACTGATCTATTGGTATAAAGCCATTCGGTACCTTATTATACTCTAACATCCATGTAATCTGCAGCCATGTCTCCATTTTCAACATGAGTAGTTCGTGCCTTCTTTCTAGAGCATGCTGGCTAGAGGTGCATCCATTATAGTGATCTCTTCAAAGAGCCAGCATTTGATTTCATTTTATTGTTTCTGTAATTTTGTTTTTATTGATTTATGCTCTGATCTTGATTTTCTTCTATTTGTTTTGGTTTAATTTCTTTCCCTTTTTATAATTTCTTAAGGTGAAAACTGAGATCAATATAAGCAACTTTATTCCTAACAGAAGCATAGAATGCTTTTAGGTTCTCTGTGAGCAATGCTTAACTGTATCACACAGGTTCTGGTGTTTTTATTTTCACTTTTCATTTAATTCAAGATACTTTCTAATTTCACTTGTGATTTCTTATTTGATCCATGAATTATTTAGACATGTCTGTTTGGTTTCCAAATATCTGGGGACTTTTCTGTTATTTTTTTTTTTTTTATGATCTCTAGTTTAACTCCATTGTGTTTGGAGAATACACTTTGTATGATTTAAGTCTTAAATGTGTTGAGATTTATTTTGTACATAATAGGGTCAAGCTTGTTGAATGTTTCATGAGCATTTGGGAAGAATGTATGTTCTGCTTTTGTTTTGGGAAGTGTTCTATAAATGACAGTTGAAGAGTTCACAATACTTGGGCAAAAGTCAGTTTACAATTGTGAGCATACAAAGCTCAGAGTTTATTCTTGTATTATTATAATCATAACCTGCATGCCTTTTTCCATATGAACTGTAAGCCTACTTTTGCCCACCCTTGTATAATTTTTTAACTTGTCACAAACTGCCTTCAAATTTTAACTACAGCACTTCACGTATAACACGTTGTTTGTGGGTAGTTTTTATCGCTTGCTCTACTACCAGTCAACGTAAAACGTATAAATACATTTCCCGCATACAATGTGATAATACAAGAAACTTACAGTTTCACTATGTTTCCTTCCTCTTGTCCTGTATGCTATTATTTTCATGTTTTACTTTTGCATCTGATGTAAGCCCCAGAATATGTGCATGGTGTATTTTACTTTACCAAACCAATCTAGTTTCATTTTCTGACACTTCCCTCCGCTGTGTTAAGTCTGTGAAGCTTAAACAAGCAATCCTTTAACTTCGATATTGCATGGTCTCCCCCTGCATCTCCATTTGAATGTCTTTATGGTCTGCATCTCTCCGCTGATGCTCCCCACCTGTTGGTGCTCCTTGTGCTGTGCTCTGGCTTACACTTTCCCGTGCCCTGGCAGCAGTTAATCACGACTGTGCTCGCCTTTCCTCAGAGGGGATATCACCCTTCGCCGTTCAGTTCACCTGTCTGCTCCGTAACCTCAGCTCCCTAGTGAGCTCAGCAAGTTCTGATTTTGTAGTTGATCCCACATTTGCTCCTCTCCGGTTAGGATGGGGCAACTTTCTCTTGCTGCATTCTACGTCCCGAGTGAAAAGAGGAGTGATAAACCAGTTTAGATACGGACTTTCAAGATTGCATATGAAGATAACCTAATAACTTTTAAAAGTTCAAGGAACCAACTGGGAAGTTATTTCAGAGAAAGTGATTAATATTCAAAAAGTTAACCCTGGAAACTTCCCTTGTAGGTCTGAAATCATACTTGTTTAGTTATGATATAGAGGTTATTATGAGAATAATTTTCTTGGCTCGCTCCTTTAATGTGACAGAAAGCAGTAGTCCATCAGGAGCGCTGTAGATTAGTGTGTAGGATCTTTCCGTGAGACTTTGTATGTCCTTGCAGTGAGCAGTTCTGTGGTCAGTCCTCAAAGAGCCCACGTTACTACTCTTATTTTAGATAAGGTTATAGCATATAATATTCTGTAAACATGTTCCACCCTTTCTTTTGTAACTGTGCAAACGAGTGTCCACTACCCCCCCACAAACTGTTTTCTACTCTCTTCTTTTCAACAAATGTCACTGACAGTCTCCTTTCGTATGTTTGAAAATTGCCATATAGTAATGAGTTACAATAAAGGAACTTGAAAAAATGTCCTTTGCACATGTTCAATTTGAGATGCCTATTAGGTAGGTGGAAATACCATGTGAAAAATTGGATGTATAAGTCTGAAGCTCCAAATACGTCAAGATTAGAGGTGGAATTTGGAGGAAGCATCACGTAAGTGGTATCAAAATCATGGAGCTGAAAGTTCTCACCTGGAGACGTGCATGCCAGCCTTCCGAGGAAGAACCTGAAAGTGAGTGAGCGACACGGAGTGGAAGGAAACCAGAAGAGCAGAGTGACAAGGAAGCCAGTAAGAGAAAGTAGATGGGAAAAGTGTCCAACCAAAGAATACGAAGTGTTAGAGAGCGTTTGGGCAGAGACTTGTAGGTGAGGACTGTGGACTTCGGTGGTAGCTGGTCTGGGAAGTCTTCGCCGTGGGCACCTGCGGATGGTAGATGGAGTGAGAAGGAAGCTGAGGGAGCCGTGGAAGGGAAATATAGTGAATTCATGGAAGATTATGTCTGTATATCTGAATTTGTACAGACCATGACTTTTATATGGTTTATCATTAAAAGTCTGAGCACTGGAGATAGTTTATGTTTCTATTCCTAAAGGGTTTTTAGAGAAACAGAAAATGTGTGTGTTTCTGGAAATCTGGATTGGAAGAGCTGTGAATTAAACACGCAGCTGACAGTTGCCATGGCAGTGTGACAATATTTATGGTAACTCATCTGGTCTCTCTCTGAAGCCTTCAGCGTGCCTTTGGAGTGCGCCGTCGTTCACACAGAATTCCAGGAGACTGTAATCAAGGATTTGTGATTCCTGCCGAGTGCCATTGACTACATCTTGATCTTAAAGCTTCTTCTGGAAGCTCTTGCAATAAAGAACCAAGTATAGTTTACATTTGCCAACACTTTCACATCCACGGGGAAAAGCAAAAGTATAAATCAAATGCTGTAGTTATATCAGCTCTGTGGGAAGGGAGAGGACCTCAGCTTTATCTTAAAATCATTATGTGTACTGCATTGAAATTAATGCAGATGGATTCACCGTAAAACTAGACAGAAAACCTCATTTCTGGTTATTACTCTAGGGCCTACACCAGCATTGCCTCATCTTTGGCATTTGCTCTGTCCTCTTTTGTTAAGTTAAAAAGCAGATCTTATTTAATGCAGTGGTCTAAAATTTTTGTCATATACCCAGTTAGTAAAAAGAAATTTTTAAATCCATCCCACATATATATTTGTTTTTTTGAAGTGACTATGTGTACCACGCCTCTAATATAATCAGTATGTTATAAAGCACACGCAGAATGAGGACATTTGAAAAGGATGAGAAAACAGTGAATCATCTCGTAAACGTCCTGTTTATATACATCCCAGAGAAATCATTTGTCTTCAGAAGCATAGGAATTGGTTCTTTTCTTTCCGCTTGAGGGTATAATATATCCTTCAAGTTATTACGTATGACATCTGAGATATTTAAAGAATTATAATCAAGGCCCAAAAGTAATTTTTTTCATTATATTTGATTATGCTATTAGAGTTGCCCTGGTTTTTTTTCCTCTTTGTCCCTCTCCACCCAGCACCACCCACTCCCTCAGGCAATTCCCTCCACCATTGTTCACGTCCAGGGGTCACACATATAAGTTCTTTGGCTACTCCGTTTCCTGCACTATACTTTACATACCAAAGGCTATTCTGTAACTACCTATTAGTACTTCTTAATCCCCTCACCTCTCACCCATTCTCCCCACTCCCTTCCATCTGGCAACCATCAAAATGCTCTCTGTATCCATGATTCTCTTTCTCTGTTCTTCATGATTGCTTAGCTTGTTTTTGGATTCAGCTGTTGATAGATATGTATTTTTACCATTTTATTATTCATAGTTTTGGGCTTCTTTTTCTTAAATAAGTCCCTTTAACATTTCATATGATGGTTTGGTGATGATGTACTCCTTAGCTTTTTCTTGTCTGGGAAACTCTATCTGCCCTCCTATTCTAAATGATAGCTTTGCTGGGTAAACCAATCTTGCTGTAGGCCCCTGCTTTTCATGATTTTAAATATATTTTGTCAATCCCTTCTAGCCTACAAAGTATCTTTTGAGAAATCAGTTGACAGCCTTATGGGAACTCCCCTGTAGGTAACTAACTTCTTTTTTCTTGCTGCTTTTAAGGTTCTCTCTTTATCTTTAACCTTTGGCATTTTAATTATGATATATCTTGGAGTGGGCCTCTTAGCATCCATCTTGTTTGGGACTCTCTGTGCTTCCTGGACTTGCATGCCTATTTCCTTCCCCAAATTAGGGAAGTTTTCTTTCATTATTTTTTTCAAATACATTTCCAATTTCTTTCTCTTTCTCTTCTCCTTCTGGTACCCCTGCAATTCGAGTATTGGACCTTTTAAAGTTGTTCCAGACGCTGCTTATACTATCCTCATTTTTTTTGGATTCTTTTTTCTTCTTGTCTGATTGTTTTTTGCTTTTTTAAAAAATAAATTTATTTTGCTTTTTAAAATATTTTATTTATTTATTTTTAGAGAGGAAGGGAGGGAGAAAAACATCAATGTGTGGTTGCCTCTTGCACACCCCCCAATGAGGACTGGGCCTGCAACTCAGGCATGTGCCCTGACTGGGGATTGATCTGGCTACCCTTTGGTTCACAGGCCAGCACTCAGTCTGCTGAGCCACACCAGCCAGGACTGTTTTTTGCTTTCTTACGTTCCATTTCATTGATTTGATTCTTGGCTTCATCCACCCTACTATTGTTTTCCTGTATATTGTTCTTTATTTCATCAGTGTATCCTTCATTTCTAACTGGATCTTTTTTATGCTGTTGAGGTCCTCACTAGGTTCCTTGAGCATCCTTAAGGAACCAGTGTTTTGAACTCTATCCAACAGATTGCTTATTTCCATTTCATTTAGCTCTTTTTCTGGAGTTTTGATCTGTTCTTTCATTTGGGCCATGTTTCTAAAATAAAGAAGTGATGGCTCTTCTTTATTTTAGTTGTATTTGTGACGTGGTTGTGCAAAGAGGCAAGCCATGTGTGCCTATGCCATCGTCTTGGCCAGAAGTCCAAGAGTAAACTTTTATGTACATAGTTAATACTGTTTGTCAAGGGCCTCATAACAGCACAAGTTTTTCTGATCAGCAGAACGTTGTTGAATAAGCAAACCAATAAATAAAAACCTGTAATGTTTTTTATCAGTGTTTGTCAGTGTAGTCTGTAATTTACAAGTTTGAAATCATGATGGTCAATGGTAAAGTTTATTATGAGCAATAATTTTAACATGCCTGTTTTTCTTTCAGATGACATTAAAGTCTCAGTAAATGATTTTATCATCAAGGCAGCAGCTGTTACCCTTAAAGTAAGTAGCAAACCCCAATAATTTTGGCTCCTCAAGTAGATTCATATCTTTGATTTTTTTTTTAAATCCTCATCTGAGGACATGTTTATTGATATCAGAGAGAGAGAGAGAGGAGGGGAGGAGACAGAGAGGAAAACATTGATGTGAGAGAGAAACATCAATTGGCTGCCTTTCGTATGTGCCCTGACCAGGAATCGAACCCACACAGCCCTTTGGTGTATGGGACAGTACTCCAACCAACTGAGCCAGCCAGCTGTGGTGCATTATTAAACTTTTATATAATAAATGGAACTCTTTTTTTTTTTTAAGGCACAAACATTTTATAATTTTATTGCTAAAATCATTCTATCATTTAATCTTCCTTAGTTTTACAGATGAAGAAACTGAGAATCAGAAGGGCTTACAACTAATTAGTCAGAGCAGAATAAAGACCACTTATTCAACATATCCTAATTGATCCCCTATCTTGTGTTAAAAACATGCCAGGCATTGGAAATGTTGTAGTGAACAAAAGCCTACGTATTTTCTGCTGCTCTCGTGGGGCTTAAGTTCTACTTGGGAGAGACAAACACTGTCCTCATAGTGTGAAAGTGCAGAGGTGAGAAGGAAAGCAAGGTACGGGAACAGAATAGCTAGGGGTGTTATTTTCAAAAGGGAGGCCTCTCTGGCAAGGCGATCATGAGACAAGGCCTGCAAAAAGAGAGGACTGGGCCAAGTAGACATGTGCTAGAAGATTATTATTCCAGGGAACGCAAACGCAGAGGCTGTGAGGAGTGGATTGTGTCATTCAAAGACATGGCACTGCGGCTAAATGTGCCTACAGAGGAGTCAGCAAGAGCAGAGGGTAGGAGATGAGATTAAAAAAATTTACAGGAGGATGGAGTTGAGGGCAACCCATAGTACATGAGGCCTTGGTGGCCACGGTAAGAACCAGGGATTTTATTATGAATGAGGAGCACGTCTTTGGAAGGTTTTGAGCAAAGGACTGACATGACCCGACGCACATTTTAAGCAGAAAAAGGAGAGACTGCTGTGGTTGCCGTGTGGAGTGCAGCCTGTGTAGAGGCAAGGTGGGGGCGGTGAGTGCTCCTAGGAGGCTGTCGAAGGTGACAGTTTTCAAAAGTAGAGCCAGCAGGATTAGATGATGGATTGGATGTGGGGTGTGAGGAAAAGAGGGGTGAGGATTTTGGCCCAGACACAAGAGGCATGGCGTTTCCCATGTACTAAGGTTGGGAAGACGGGAGAGGAGCCAGTTTGAGGCAGGAATCTGGAGTTTGGCTCTGGACGTGCATTAAGTTTGAGAAGCCTCATGGAGCCCCAGTGGAGGTGGCTGGAGGGCAGGCGGCTGACTGGAGATGTTCATCTACAGCCCAGGCTCCTGGCTCGCTGCTCGGCACCGCTTTCTGTCATGCCTTCGTGTGAACGGGGCTGCTCCTCCATGTAACTGCTCAGTAGTTGCTGCATTTAAAGTACATTTATAAAGAATTTATTTTATTTATTGAACAGTTAAATAATAGCGAATTTAAAGGCATGCCTCTTCACCTGCTCATATCTAAATGTTCATAAGTCTTTTGTTTATGACCAAATGTTTTGAATTACAGTAATAATTTTCTAATGATGAGTTATTCTTGCCCTCCTTAAGTGGACATTAGCTATTTGTCAATATTTTATTTCATCATTTTGTATCAGGAACCATAGTAATTTTAATTTTAATTTTCTCCTAACTCTTTTAGGATTTTCTTTTTTTTTTTTTAAATCAGTGGCTGCATCAAAATGAATTTAGTTACTTTTTTCCTTTCTTTCTTCATGAATGTTTCAATATTGTAAAGATCTTTATTTCTTGAAGTTTTGTAGAATTCACCAGTAAAAATATCTGAGTTCTACATTGAGAAGGGAGCATTGGCGACTTTCTCATTTTTTCCCCAAATTATTGAGCTGTTTAATTTTCAGTTTTCTTTAAGTCTGGAAACTTATATATTCCAAGAAAATCATTTACTTCATCTAGATTCCCAAACTTATTAGCCTAGAGTCGTTTAAATTTGCTTCTTATAATTATGTCAGTGTCCTCAGTGCCTGGGGGTGTTCTGAACTCTGTCTCGCTTTTATTGCGTGTTTGTATTCTCACTCCTCTTATACTGTTTCATTATATATTCCTTCATTTCCTTAGGTTTATTTTGGTTAGAGGGTTTTTGTTTTTTTTAGAAAACTTGAATGTTTAATTAATTGTAATTATATTTTATTAATAAGATTATTTGGGTTATAAATTTTCCTTTGAGTATAACTTAGGTTATATCTCATAGATTTTTGTTACATTGTTTTAATTAAATTTATTTTCCAGGTATTCTTCATTTGTGAGGGGTTTTTTTTTTCTCTTTCATTTTTCCATTATCGCTAAAGAATTTAAAATCTTCTAAGAGATTGGGACATCATTGTTCATTATTTTGACATAACGGGATTGTCGAATGAGTGAGCTGAACCCTGAAAGACGGGGAAGTGAAACGAGCAATTGAAAAGAGAGGCAGTGGAAGTGAGCATAGTGTGGCAGCAGGAGGCCCCAGTGGGGTGGGGAGTTCGCTGTCGGGGGCTGGTCAGAGCTAAAATTGGGTAAGTAGGTGAAATCCTCCTCTTGGCGGATGGCTGTGTTCCATTACATGTGGAGAGGCATGGGTCTCACTCAGTAGAAAGCAAAGAATCTGGAGAAGAGAAGTTTGTTTTTGATACCTATTTTTTGAACATCATATTCTGCCATGATATTTGACAGTATTATCATTGCACATTATTTCCAGGCATTTAATCATTTCGTCTGGTATAGGGCATGTATAGGGCATATAATATGTCAATGACTCTGGAAAAACTCTCTTAAATACAGAAGTCATTTATTAATGGCTTGCTGATATTCCCCAGGGCCGCGCTAGGAAGTCAGGCTTCCTTCACGCCCCAGGAGTAATGTGGATGAATGTCACTGCCCTCTTCCCTCCTCTCTTTCTTCTCAAGGTCATTTGGTCAAATGCTGAGGCAGGAAGTAGAGCAAATGTCAATTCCCATGTTTTGCCGTGTGTAAGGTGCTCCTGTGTATAATGCACACCCATGTTTTTGGCCCAAACTTTCAGGCAAAAAATCTTTTGTTTTAATTTTTTAATTCAATTATTTATTTACTTATATTTAGATATTTGATTTTTGTATTACAAAGGAATTTTAGCATTTTAGAATTTTAGCATTTTAGCATTTTTTTTAATGTATTATGGTACAAGAAATTTTATGTAACAAATGCACAAGAACAGATAACAAGGTATTTCAGGTATTATTCACGTATAGCACTCATCCTTATTTTTCCGTCAAAAATTTAGGCAAAAAAGTGTGCATTATCCACAGCAAAATACAGTACTTTTTAGCAATCAGGGTTAACAAAGGAAGCCTTTTTTTTACCGTGATACAAAGAGACGAAAACATGGACATCATCAGAACTTCCTCAAGCTTGCTTCAAAAAGATAGTATGCTGAATTGTTCATCCCAAACGTAAAAGACATTAACACAGAGATCCAATCCATTTTTTACACGGAATTTTTATTTCCTTCTGTCTAGTTATATTCACTTTCAGATAAGCATAATAGGGTCAGTTATTTTTCTGTGATCACTTTGGTCTAAAGCCGCTTCGTTAGTAGCATGTTTTTCTCTGTTTCCGTTTTCTAGCAAATGCCAAGTGTCAATGTCAGCTGGGATGGAGACGGCCCGAAGCAGCTGCCCTTCATCGACATTTCGGTGGCTGTGGCCACAGATAAAGGTCTGATTACACCGATCATAAAGGATGCTGCGGCTAAGGGCATACAGGAGATCGCCGACTCTGTGAAGGTACGCCTTAAGAAACACTTTCAAAAGGTTGGAATTTACTTTCCAAGTGAGTCTTAGCATGACCTGGTCACTTTATGGTTGATATGATATGCATGTATCTGTATATAATTATATATTTATATATACAGTTACGTATGTGCGTACATATGTGTGGATGCATTTCAAATGATTGTCATTTGTATATATGGAATTTTAAGTTTTTATCGAGGCACGACCCAGTTTAAGAACATTTAACATTTAAAATTTCAGAAATAACATACAGATCAATTACGGTCAACTGCGTTCACTTGAATGAATGAATGCTTTACTTACTGAAGTCTAGAATTCAACTTCAAGGATGGTATTTTAGATCATTAAAGTTGAAACTATATTTCTTTAAAGTGGTAGTAAGTAGACTTCGCTGTTAACATCATTTTATTGTTTAAAGTTTATTCATTTCCTTTCTGGACTTGAGACCACTAAACGTACTTAGTATTCCAAAAACAAAAATATTGTATTTTTCCTAGGTTTCTTTAAAAGCAGTTTTGTAGCTCTAATACAGAAGAGTCTGATTTGAACAAAAATACCACATGGAATAAGCAGGAATACGGGCAGTAGGTCAGCTTTGACGGCCTGTGTGGTTTTTGGTCAGAAATATCATAGTGTTAGCATTGCCAATTTCAGATCCATTTAGATAAGCGATTCTTTTTTCACTTACCGAGGACCAGTTGTATGGGTAGTGGTAGAACAAGATGTAAGGGGGGTTAAAAAGTAGAAGATAAGATTTCTTTGGGGAGCTGGCAGTATGCAGATGTGTAGACCTACTTGCCCAAAATAAATAAGTAGATGCAAGGCCATCTAGTTTAAAAAGCATACTTTTGGAATCTTAGAGATAGATATAATTAAAGGTGACCTTAGTAGAATTGTCATTTTGAAGCCATTCTTCAAAAGAAGAATGTTTTTCAAAAGATTTGCAAAGTGTGTATTTAGAGATAAAAAATTCAACTGTATTTTGTACTTGAGAGGTGGTATGAATTTGGCCAATTTAAAGGTCAAAGTAATAGCGGTTGGTTTACTAGGACATTGTGTGCCTTATATTCATAAAGGGTTTTCAACAGCAGTGAGATTATGTGTATTTTAGTCTTTTTGTGAAAGTCAAATGTAATTGAATTTAACTGTGGAGTTAGAATTTTCTTACCTTTATATAAATTTAATTAAAAAAAATTAAAAATGATGGGAAGGTTTCTTTGATTCTGACTAATTTACCAATTTTACTGCTGTGATAAATAGTTCTTGAAGTAGCCATATCAGCATTCCCTCTCCCTTCCATCCTGAAAGACCGGAAGTTGGGGCGGTATGGAAGCGGTCCCAGCGGCCTCCCTGCCGTGGGAAGGACAGCGCTAACCCCTTAGGATGTTCCGGGACCCCTGGTAGTCCTTGGTGTCCCCTGTAATTCCCAGCAACTCCAAGGTTGCCGTGCTCTGGCTACTCGTCTGTACTTATTCTACCTGCTTCTCTCTCCTACCCTGCTGTCTGCGATCAACACTCCACTCTCTTGTTCTTAGGATACACCAGACACTAGGCTTAGCGTTTCATATCATCCTATTGGCCCAATATTATAGTTGGAACCTAAACGTCCCCATTTTAAAATTGAGGAAACTGAGTTTAACACCTTTAAGAAATTTGCCCAGAGTGATGTGTTTATAAAGGGGTGGAAGTGGGGATTTATTTAAACCAGGCATTCCTCATGTCAAATGCCATTTTCTTAGGCCTTCCGTGGCTTCCATAGCTGGAATAGCTTCCTACATTAGCCTGTCTTATTGTCTTCATTGGCTTATCAGCCTTTTCTTTTAAAGATTTTATTTTTAGACAGAGGGAAAAGGAGGGAGAAAGAGGTAGAGAAACATCAATGTGTGGTTGCCTGTCTTGCTCCCCCTTCTGGGGACCTGGCCTGCCCAGGCATGTGCCCTGACTGGGAATCGAACTGGTGACCTTTCGGTTCTCGGGTCTGTGCTCAATCCACTGAGCCACAACAGCCAGGGCTGGCTTATCAGTCTTTGAAATTAACTTAATTGTTGACCTTTCTATGTTCCCTTGTATCTCATGTTGTCTATGTTGTTCTTTGCCATATATCCAATTCTAGAAGAGTGCTTGGAAGATACTAACTACTCAATAAATCTTTAAAAATATCTAATAAAAACTCTTACTGAAGTTAATTTTCCAAGAAGTATGTATGTAGGTCCCTGTAAATGCATCATGGACTCCAGGTTAAGAACACCTATGCTAAGTATTTACTTCCTTGTCTCAAGGATGTCAATGTGTGGTGCTAAAGGAATGCATGTCTCAGCCAAGTTCAAGTTTATATTCGCTAACTAGAGTAGTATAGTAACAAGCCATAGATCCCACACTGTTCTTAATTCCTCATTAATTATAGCAGTTTTAAAAAGCAGAAGTAGAGCTATGACACGGTGCGTGCAAGGGGCTGCTGCCCGGACCACACTGTTGGCCTCGGGCAGAGGGAGAGGAAAGGGGGGGGGGGGACATTAATCAGCCGCCTCCCACATATACCCCGAATGGGGCCCAAACCCACAACCCAGGAAAATGCTAAACTCCTGTTAGAAATTAGGGGAGATCTTCAGTTAGAAGATAGCTTGAGAGTCCGTGGACCTCGGGGAAAGAATGCCTTGCTTAGGCTCCATAAGGCTTCCTTTAGAGGCAGCCTCTAGATTTCTGAGAAACATCTGGCTGGATTGTCCATTATCGTGCTCTTCCTGCTTTTTGGGGCAGCCATCTCCGTTTCCTTGAGTCCACTGATGTCAGATTAAGAGACTTCGGGCCAAGACGGAGGCATAACTAAACACGCTTTGCCTCCGCACACAACTACAGCAAAAATTACAACTAAACTACAAAAACATCACCCAAATTTGTCAGAAAATCCAGCTGTGTGGAAATCTAACAACCAAGGATTTTAAAAAGCTACATTCACCCAGATGGGTGCCTTTTCTACAATAAGCCACACTACTAAGACAGGGAGGGAGTCAAAGCAGCTCTACCTAATACACAGAAACCAACACAGAGAGGCTGTCAAGTTGAGGAGAGAGAGAAGTATGGCCCAAATGAAAGAACAAAACAAAACTCCAGCAAAAGAACTAAACAAAATGGAGATAAGCAACCTATCAGATGCAGAGTTCAAAACACTGGTGATCAGGATGCTCAAAGAAATCATTGGTTACTGCAATAGCATAAAAAAGACCCAAGCAGAAATAAAAGTTACATTAAGTGAAATAAAGAAAAATTCACAGGGAACCCATAGAGGATGGGATGAAGCTGAGATTCAAATCAACAGTTTGGAACATCAGGAAGAAAAAAGCATTCAATCAAAATAGCAAGAAGAAAAACAAACTCAAAACGAGAATAGAATAAGGAACCTCTGGGACATCTCTAAACATACCAACATCCAAATCATAGGGATGCCAGAAGGAGAAGAGGAAGAGCAAGAAATTGAAAACTTACTTGAAAAAATAATGAAAGAAAACACCCCTAATTTGGTGAAGGAAATAGACATACAAGTCCAGGAAGCACGGAGAGTCCCAAACAAGATGGACCCAAAGTGGCCCACACCAAGACACATCATAACTAAAATGTCAAAGGTTAGAGATAAAGAGAGAGTCTTAAAAGCAGCAAGAGAAAAGTAGAGTTGCCTACAAAGAAGTTCCCATAAGACTGTCAGCTGATTTCTCAGAAGATACTTTGCAGGCCAGAAGGGGCTGGAAAGTATTCAAAGTGATGAAAAGCAAGTACAGCCTACATTGCTCTATCCAGCAAAACTATCATTTAGAATTAAAGGGCAGATAAAGTGCTTCCCAGACACAGTAAAACTAAAGGAGTTCATCATCACCAAGCCATTATATGAAATGTTAAAGAGAACTGTATTAGAAAAAGATCAAAAGTATAACCATTAAAATGGCAACAAATGCACAACTATCGACAACTGAATCTTAAAACAAACTAAGCAAACAAGCAGAACAGGAACAGAATCATAGATATGAAGATCATTTGGAGGGCTATCAGCTGGGAGGGGGAAGAGGGAGAATGGAGGAAAAGGTGCAGGGATTAACAAGTACAAATTGGTAGGTACCGAACAGGCAGGGGCAGGTTAAGAACGGTATAGGAAATAGAGAAGCCAAAGAACTTATAGGCACGACCCTGGACATGAACTGGAGGGGGCGGGGGGGAATTGCTGGAGGGAATGGGGACACCATGCGGAAGGGGGCAAAGGAGGAAAAATTGGGACAACTGTAATAGCAAAATCAACAAAATATACTTTTTAAAAAGGCAGAGGTAAAGTTACCTCATTAGTACTCAGTACTAATTAGTACAGTTTTTGAATGAATTGGTAAGGCACATGACGTATTTTAGAAATATTTGCTAGTCATCTTGTATAAGGCACTTTCAGCTGGATGCTTCAGGTGACAGCTGCTTTATTTTAAGTTCGTATTTTCATCTGACCAGGAAGATCCAGTGAGAATTCTTTAGGAATTTTTAGAATGAACGATCCTCCTCAGGTTCTATTTTTATTTTAGGCTCTTAGGGCTCATTGATAGGAACATTCTGCTGATGTGATTTGGGTTTATAGAGATTTTCTTTTTAAGTGTAGTAAAATAAATACACTATTTGTATTTGTGTGGCACGGGAATGTGGAGATCATCTGCGTTGGAAGAAATGCCTTTCAGAGTCCATATGACGTGTGCCTGCTCAAAGCATGTGAACAGTTGTTTGCGTAAGGCAGGAGAAATGCGTCTGTAGCCCGTTCGCTCTACCTCTGTCATTCCACGGACCATGCAAGGCTGTATCCTCATTCTTCACTTTGGTTTCAAGTAGCTTCATGAGTGACTGCATCCAAATAGTAGTAATCTGCAGTTGTTTCAATTGCATGAAGTCACAGTGATACATTGAGATGTTTTTAGATTTTTAAAGAACGTTTTAGTTTGCAAAATTGAAATCACCTGTGGTTTAAAGTTAGTTATTAATGGTGGTTATAACTACTTCTATTAGCTATTTAATACAGGATATCAAGTATGCCCTGATTTAGTTTATCTATTCAAATGACAACAGCTTTATTCTTCTTTTAATAAAAGAATCCACTATTAATTTTTTAATGTAATGAATCAGCCTGTGTTTCCTTATTTTGGAAGCATTGAAAAATAAAGATTAACACAAGTATGGTTAATTGCAAGTGCAAGTAGAGGAAAATTTAATGACTTTTCTTATATTCACTCTTAGGGTGTCATCTGCCTTTCCCTCTGTAAGTGTTTATAAGTCAGTATTGTCAAGAATGATACAAAAATGACTACACTCAATGTTGCGCTCTAAATTGGACTGGCTCATTCAGGAAATGCTTTAGCTGTAGGAACAAGAACCAAAATAATGTCTATTTTCTGGGGCTTAGTAATTCCACTTCTGAGAATTTATATGAAATCACTCAAAAGAAACCAATGAACCAAATTATGACACTGGGGAAATGACTAAGTAAATTCTGGCAGATACGGTCTTTAGAATGTTAAGCAAACATTAAAAAATTGTTTATAAAGACTTAGCAACATAGAAGATGCTTATATTGAAAAGTGAAATAGAGAGTTCTGGGGTTTTTTAACAACTGTCTGAAATTGTATATGTGTTGTGGGTAAAAAAGAGGCAAAAGTTGAAAGACGAAATCTGATATGTTGGTTGTAGGTTTGTTGCTGTTGCATAGTTTATTTAAAATACTAGATCAACAAGAATGGCTTCTTCTAATATTTTATCCTCTAAGAAAAGTAGAAGTATTGGAACATTCTGCATACTAATGGTGCACAAGGTAATTCCAGTATTCAAAGAATTTTTAAAGGAAAGTGACTTTTCTAGAGTTTTGATTCACATGTTTAGCTTCTTTAGCTTATCTGTATTTTATCTTTTTTAAAAAATGAGTTAAGAGAAAACCATATATACATCTGATAAAGTCAAATCAAAGCACCTAAGAGATGAGACTGTACCCTGTACAGATATTTCAAATGACAAGTAACCTGTACTCTGTGTAACAGAGTCTTACTTGACACACTTCATTTGTGCTTTTTCAGGCTCTATCAAAGAAAGCAAGAGATGGAAAGTTGTTACCTGAAGAGTACCAAGGAGGATCTTTCAGGTAAAATTTAAACTCTTAATCATCAGTAGCATCAAACAGATAGAAGACTTATAAAGCCCATGTTCACCTGTTTTATCTATTTTCTGAAACTTTTTAAAAAATTTAAGATAAATATCACACACTATATTTCGATAACAGAATATGTGAAGATATTCTTCAGACAAATCAGATTTTCATATTAAAGCTAGTAAGAACCCCTTAGGGTTAGCTAGTTAACTCATTCAAATATTCATGGAACGACATTCAGAGTTTGCTGTTGATATTTAAAAATATATAAGTACAATAGATTTATAAAACTCAACTGTATGGTTTTTCTACTGCAATTCCTCATGTTAAGGTACCTTGGCGAAATATATTAACACTTAGGCCCTTCAGTTATTACCAGCTCTATTTTTCAGTGTAACTTACACACAATAAATTGTACTTAGTGTAGCTTGAATGTTTTACAAAATAAAGAAACTTGTGCAGCCAACCAAAGCAGGATATACTCCCTCTACCCTTCCATCCTCTTAAAGGTAACCACTTTTCTCAAAATTACCATAGATTTGCTTTGCTAGCTTTGATCTTTGTATAAAGATGCATTTTTTAAAAACCTCACCCAAGGATATGTTCGCCCGATTTTAAGAGAGGAAGGGAGACGGTGAGGGAGAGAGACAGAAACATTGATGTGAGAGACAAGCATCAGTAAGCTGACTCCTGCACATGCCCCCACAGGGAATCGAACCCACAACCCAGGCACGTGCCTGACCAGGGATCGAACCCACAACCTTTTGGTATACAGGTCAACACCCAACTGACTGAGAGACACACATTCTTAGTGTCTGGCTTCTTTCACTCAACATTGATGTCTGTGAGATCAACCATGTTACTGTGTGAATCAGTCATTTATCTGTTATTAGTGCAGTGTCTTACATTCTGTAGTGTGTTGTAAAAATATGCCAGTATCCATTTACTGTGGGCATTTATGGTGTGTATAGAATTTGGTGCTATTACAAATAATGGTGCCATGAACATTTTATTAGTGTCTTACGATGACTATACATATGTTCATTGTATACACTGAAAGTAGAATTGCTAAGTTAAAAGCTTTAATGGACCCTGCCAAACAATCTTTCAAAATGCTTACACAGATCTACAGTTAACAGTCTATGAGAATTCCTCTTAGGAATGCTAGGTTTTAAATTTTAACAGGTCTTGGAGTATGCAGCGGCATCTCTGTGGTCAGGGGAATACAATTGGATGATGTTGAAAACGGTTTTCATTTTTCTCTCAGCCATGTGTGTATCTGGTAACTCATCAGATAAAGTAGCTGCTGAAGTCTTGTGTCTGTCTTTAAAAAGAATTTGTAGGAGTTCTCATCTCCAGATACACAGACCTTTGTAGGACTATTTCAGATACCTTTTCCCACTCTGTGCCTTGCCCTTGGGACTTTTTTAAATTTAATCTTTATTGGGACTTCTGGCAAGATGGAGGAATAGGTGGACGCACCGTGCCTCCTCGCACAACCAAGATTAGAACAACAATAATTTACAGACACAATATCACTCAGAACTGACAGGATTTATCTGAATGGAAGTCGGGCAGCCAAGAAGTTGAAGTAGACCCGTACAGCCAGACCGGTAGGAGATGACGAGCCGGGTGGGCCCAGGGCTGGCGCGGGTGGGCGGCGCTCGAAGGTCGGGGAAAATTTGGCGCAAAATCAGCGCGACAGCCATCCGGGGCAAGAACGCAGTGGTGATCCCTGAGTGCTCAAGCTGCGGCTGGCGGACCCAGTGGGGCAGCGATTGTGGATCAGGGCAGAGCTCGCAGCCCAGGATCCCAAGGAAGGGCCTGAGCCCAGGAGAACGAAACTATCGCTATTGTCGCCTCCCACTCCCGCCCCCCCCCCCACATATAACGTCACAATCTAGCGACCAGGGTGCCCAGCCCGGGTGAACACCTAAGGCTCCGCCCCCCGCCGTAACAAGAGCGACCAGAGACAGGGAAAGACCTAAGACATGTATCCAACAGAACAGATCAGTCCCCCAGGACTCATCCTTTTGAGTGACCAAGAAATAGCCAATCTATCAGATGCACAGTTCAAAACACTGGTGATCAGAAAGCTCACGGAATTGGTTGATTTTGGGCACAATTTAGATGAAAGGATGCAGGTTACCATAAAAGAGATGCAGGAAGATATGCGGAGGAGAGCCAATAGTGAAAGGAAGGAATCTGAGTCTCAAAACAATACAGTGGACCAGAAGGAAGATAGAATCAACCAAGCAGGAAAGCATGATGAAATAAGAATTCAAAAAATCGAGGAAAAGCTTAAGAGCATCCAGGGCACCTTTAAACGTTCCAACATCCGAATTATAGGGGTACCAGAACAGGAAGGAGAAAAGCAACAGATGGAGCACGTATTTGAACAAATAATAAAGGAGAACTTCCCCAATCTGGCAAAGGAAACAGTCTTCCAAGAAATCCAAGAAGCTCAGAGAGCCCCAAAGAAGTTGGACCCAAGAAGAAACACAGCAAGGCACATCATAATTACATTAGCCAACGTAAAAATGAAGGAGAGAATCCTAGAAGCAGCAAGAGATAAGGGGACAGTAACCTACAAAGGAGTTCCCATCAGACTGTCAGCTGATTTCTCCAAAGAGACCTTACAGGCAAGAAGGGGCTGGAAAGAAATATTCCAAGTCATGAAAGACAAGGACCTACATCCCAGATTATTCTATCCAGCAAAGCTCTTTTAGAATGGAAGGGAAGATAAAGTGCTTTTCAGATAAGGTCAAGTTAAAGGAGTTCATCATCACCAAGCCCGTACTTTATGAAATGCTAAAGGGACTTATCTAAGAAAAGAAGATAAAGAAAAGACCTGTATAGTAAAAGGACAGCAAACTCACAATTATTAACAACCACACCTAAAGCAAAACCAAAAGAAACCAATTAAACAACTAGAACAGGAACAGAACCACAGAAATGGAGATCACATGGAGGGCTAGCAGCAGGGGGGTGGGAGGAGGAGAGGGGGAAAAGGTATAGAGAATAAGTAGCATAGAATGTAGGTTGATAATAGATAGGGGGAGGGCAAGAATAGTACGAGAAATGTAGAAGCTAAAGAACTCATAAGAATGACACATGTACATGAACTAAAGCGGGGGAACGTGGGTGGGAGAGGGGGTACAGGGTGGAGGGGAGAGAAGGGGGGAAATGGGACAACTGTAATAGCATAATCAATAAAATACATTAAAAAAATTAATCTTTATTGTATGTTTTTTTTTCATCGACATTTAGTCTCCTCAGACCCCCTTCCCCCAGTAATCACCAGACTGTTGTCCGTGTCCATGAATCCTTTTTCCTGTTTGCTCCATCCCTCCACCCCCTAACCTCCCCCCACCCCAACTGTCATCCTGCCCTCCATCTGTGAGTCTGTCCCCATTTCCCTTGTTAGTTCAGTTTGTTCATTAGATTCCACATATGAGTGAAATTACATGATATTTGTCTTTCTCTGACTGGCTTATTTCAGTTAGCCTAATGTTCTCCATGGAACTTTCTTGATGGTGTTTTTTAATACAGAATTTCTGAATTTTAATGAAGTCCTGTTTATCAGCATTTTTCTTTATACTTGGTCCTTATATTCTGCTTGGAATTATTGCCTAAAGAGTCATGGAGTTACTCCTCTATGTTGTCTTCTAGAGCCATTAGAGCTTTTCACAGGTAGATTATAATCCATCTGCAACTGGGTTTTGTTTATTGTGTGTAGGTTTTTTAGGGTCAGCTGGTCATCTGTCATGTACACACCAAGCCTTGCTGGGATTTTGACTGGGGCTGCATTGACTCTGGTGGTTAATTTGACAATTGACACCTTCAGAGCATGAGCATGAGTCTTCCAGCTGGTGACTGTGGCGTAAACCGTTGTGTATTCAGTGCTGTGACTCCTTTTGGTTATGTTTTTTTTTTTAGCATGTTTTCTTTTTTTTTAATATATTTATTGATTATGCTATTACAGTTGTCCCATTTCCCCCCTTCACTCCCCTCCACTCTGTACACGCTCTCCCACCCACATCCCCCCTTTAGTTCATGTCCATGTCATAAGTTCTTTAGCTTCTACATTTCTCATACCATTCTTATCCTCCCCCTATCTATTTTCAACCTACAATCTATGCTACTTGTTCTCTGTACCTTTTCCCGCTCTCTCCTCCTCCCACTCCCCTGTTGCTAACCCTCCATGTGATCTCCATTTCTGTGTTTCTGTTCCTGTTTGAGTTGTTTGCTTAGTTTCTTTTGGTTTTGCTTTAGATGTGGTTGTTAATAATTGTGAGTTTGCTATCCTTTTACTATACATGTTTTTTTTTTAATCTTCTTAGATAAGTCCCTTTAACATGTCATAAAATAAGGGCTTGGTGATGATGAACTCCTTTAACTTGACCTTATCTAAGAAGCACTTTATCTGCCCTTCCATTCTAAATGAAAGCTTTGCTGGATAGAGCAATCTGGGATATAGGTCCTTGTCTTTCATGACTTGGAATACTTCTTTCCAGCCTCTTCTTGCCTGCAAGGTCTCTTTTGAGAAATCAGCTGACAGTCTCATGGAAACTCCTTTGTAGGTTACTGTCCCCTTATCTCTTGCTGCTTCTAGGATTCTCTCCTTCATTTTTACCTTGGCTAATGTAATTACGATGTGCCTTGGTATGTTTCTTCTTGGGTCCAACTTCTTTGGGACTCTCTGAGCTTCCTGGACTTCCTGGAAGTCTATTTCCTTTGTCAGAATGGGGAAGTTCTCCTTTATTATTTGTTCAAATACGTGCTCAACCTGTTGCTCTTCCTCTTCTCCTTCTGGTACCCCTATAATTCGGATGTTGGAACGTTTAAAGATGTCCTGGAGGTTCCTAAGCTTCTCATTTTTTTGAATTCTTATTTCTCTGTTCTTTCCTGTTTGGTTGTTTGTTTCTTCCTTCTGGTCCACTCTATTGTTTTGAGTCCCAGTTTCCTTCCCATCACTATTGGTTCTCTGTGCATTTTCCTTCATTTCTTTTATGGTAACCTGCATTTATTCATCTAATTTGTGCTCAAAATCAACCAATTCTGTGAGTTTCCTGATCACCAGTGTTTTGAACTGTGCATCTGATAGCTTAGCTATCTCTAGGTCGCTTAAAAGGATGAGTCCTGGGGCATTGATTTGTTCTTCTGTTTGAGCTCTCTCTCTCTCTCTCTCTCTCTCTCTCTCTCTCTCTCTCTCTCTCTCTCTCTTTTGGAGGGGGGGTCTGGTCGCTCCTGTTATGGTGAGGGGTGGAGCCTTAGGTGTTCACCAGGGCTGGGCACCCCAGTCGCTGGGTTGTGACATTGTATGTGGGGGCGGGGGCGGGAACAATGGCGGTAGCTCTGTTCTCCGTGGGACCTCAGTCCCTTCTCTGGGATCCTGGGTTGTGCACTCTGCCCTAGTCCACAATCACTGCCTCACTGGGTCTGCCAGCTGTCACTTGCGCACTCAGGGTCCACCCGCTGTAATCTTGCACACCCCAGATGCCTTACTCGCCCCCAGTTGCCTTATACACCCAATTCTCCCTGTTCTCCGCGCTGCGACCTGCACCTGGCTGCTCATCTCCACCCTTCCTACCGGTCTGGATGAACGGGTCTACTTCAACTTCTTGGTTGTCTGACTTCCATTCAGATAAATTCTCTGTCAGTTCTGGGTGTTATTCTGCCTCTAAATTGTTGTTGTTCCAATTTTGGTTGTGAGTGGAGGTACGGTGCATCCACCTATGCCTCCATCTTGGGTGGAAGTCAGTTATGTTTTATAATTTTCTGTGTAGACATCTCATAAATGTTTTATTAGATTTACTCCTTGATGTGTGTGATGTTATTGTAAATGGTGTTCTTAAAATTTATTTTCTAATTATAGCAACTTGTATATAGCTATTAAATGAATTTTTATTGACCTTTTATCTAGTGACTTATTTAAATTCACTTACTAATCTGACTAGGTTATCTGTGGAGCCTTACATTTTTCTATGGATGCAATCAGTTCATCTGTAAATCGTGACAGTTTTATTAGTTTTAGTCCTTGCATCTTACATTTCTTTTTCTTGTCATATGCCACTGCCTACAAATTCCAGTAGGATGCTGAATAGGTGTTTATATAATATGTAATATCTGCATGTGTGTCAATATTTAATACACACTTTTTGATACTGTTGTAAGTAAGTCTTTTGTCTGTGGTCTTTGAATGACCTGGTATAAGGTCTGTACTACAGTTTTTCAGTAAAGTGAAAATATGTGCTTGGGGAAAGTCTAATCTGATGGATAACATGCCACCTTCAGAGCTTTTTGTTTTCTCTAGCATTTCCAACCTGGGGATGTTTGGCATCGACGAATTTACTGCCGTGATCAACCCCCCTCAGGCCTGCATCCTGGCCGTCGGGAGGTTCCGACCGGTGCTGAAGCTCACGCAGGATGAGGAGGGGAATGACCAGCTGCAGCAGCACCAGCTCATCACGGTCACTATGTCCAGTGACGGTCGGCTAGTGGACGACGAACTAGCTACCCGGTTTCTGGAAAGTTTTAAAGCAAACCTAGAGAATCCTATTCGACTGGCCTAGTTCTCAAAGACAGAACTGCTACCCAGAAACATACACTATATGAAAAACATTAGGTATTTAAGTGTGAAATGGATGAAATGTTTATTTATTTAAGCTGAAAGAGTTTGACCTGAGTTGTCGTCATTTATAAAGTGGGTTTAATGTTGTAGAAATAAATGACAACAAACTGTAACTACAATAATTAAAAAAGAGAATGTTTAGTTAGATCCATTTTTAATCTTGGTGCTGTACAAAGGGAGCGTTAAACTAGATGTAAGTTCAGTCATATGTTTGGCTCCTTGGAGCATTTGAAAATATTTGAGAATATATGATAAACTGTAAACTTAAAAAATTGTTACAATTCTACTTGTGTTGACATTGGATGTGGTCTTCAAAGAAACACCCACTGATTTAGCAGTGGGTCCTCACTTTTACAAGCACTGCTGTAGATATACTTGAACAATTTAATATGTACAGAAGTTTATTCTGGATAACAGTACATAAGGATCACATTGTGTTAGGGGTTGCGGCAACATTATTGAATTTTTTATGTATATAAAGCCATATGTTTTAGAGTGCTTTCTATCATTCTTATTTTTTACTCCTGTGATACTGTGAACTTCTACAGAGGAAAATTTTTTAAATCAAAAATGAAGAGAAAGAGACCAAAAAAATTGTTTGTTTCAATGGTAAACTATAGTTTAAATATTTAAACCCTCAGAAATAACTGCTCACCTTCATACTAACTTGGAATGTATTAAAATAAATTATGCTGTTTACTACCGAACATTTTAAGTTAGTGTTGATTTGAACACAAAATGTTTCTTATGCATTTTAATCAAGTTTGTATTGTGCAATAAGATAGGACACAAATTTAGTCAAACCTTTTTTTATGATTTTTTAATTATTTATTTTTAGAGAGAGGGAAACGGAGAGAGAAAGAGAGGGAAAGAAACATCAGTGCAAGAGAGAAACATCGATTGGTTGCCTCTCATATGTGCCCAGACGTGAGACCAAACCTGCAACCCAGGCATGGGCCTTGACCAGGAATCAAACCAGAGACCTTTTGCTTTGCAGGGCGATGCCCAACCAACTGAACCAGGCTGGTCACATCAGGGCAGTTTAGTGAAACCTGGAAATGTATTAGTAGTTTCCCTGGAACAGCTTACTGGGGACTCTACAAGAAGAGAGGAGGAATTTGAAATTAATGACATTAGGAAAATAGTGGATATGGAATGTAAAGAGAGTAGAAAAGAAGGTATATGAAGCGGGCGAGAACCATCCTTGTTATTCCATCAATGATGCAAAGTTTTCACTCATTACTATAAAGGTTAGAAGAGTTTCCTTCTTTTAACAACTCTGCTATTACCGGCCAGACAGTTGTACTGAAGTTGGCTTGTGGTAAGCGTCAGCTGACATGATTCACCCGAGGAAAGACTGTTTGGTACACGTGTGGTGTGACGTGATGAACTTCACACTCTAGGAAAAGAGCAGCGCCTCCCAAAGTAATTAGAATGCTGGCCTATGAATTGTTAAGAAAATGCTTAATCCAATTACTACATTTTAACAAGCTGTTTTTTAAAAATAGTCCTCAAAACTTTTCTCATATTCACAATTTTCCTGAAAGTTTTAACCAACTACTACTTTTAAGATCAGTTTTATATGTTAATTATTTTCAGTCAGTTTTAAGGGAAATTGTTTTGTTGTTTTCCAGTTTTTATACCTAAGGAAGACAGCATGAGACAGCCACAAATAACGCTTGGCTGGGGGTTCTGTTTTGTTTTCCGTGGGCTGAGGCGCACACCCCCCCCAGTGCCTCTGTCCCCTGTGGTCTAATGGACCTCGGCCCCACCCCTGCCTGCCATAAGGGGTTGCTGTGAACTGCACAGGGCAAACGCAGTGTAAGTTTAAGGCCTTTTCATTCTTCTCTAACATCGCAACCAGGCTTTTCATATGATCAGTTGCTTCTCACACTTTCACTTCTCAGCTATTGGTACAAATGCTCGTTATGCTGACTAAAAAGTGTTTTCTCTCATATTTGTATACTGCTTAGGTTTGTGTGAGCAGATTGTAATTTCTGGTAAAAAAAGAATTCAAGCGCAAAGTCGAAGAGGAACACTGACTGAAGAGAGAACTATGGGATGCGTGGTTTGGATCCTGTAGAGAAAGAACCGTGGTGCCTGAGCAGGCTCTGCCCCACGTTTTATAAATGTTTTTAGTACTGATAGGGATCACGCCGAGAGGATATAAAAATGAAAGTTTACTCCTGGTCACCGTTTTTCTCGTTTAAACGGGGAACGTGGCTAAAATAGTGAGAAGACTTGTAAGGAAAAGGCACCGCACATCCCAGTTAACACTTAGGCAGGACAGTGTCAGTGAATAGTAGAATTTATAAGTCGAAAAAGCCCGCTTCTCCCTGCGCGCATCTGCCTGTTAACATTCCCGGGTGCCGCTTGTGCACCGACCGTCCTGCCAGACCCAGTGAGAGCACACGGCTGGCCAGACTCCCTGGTTTGGAGTATTCCCAAGAAATTTGTATGTGCTGGTGCAAGCATTTTATATATAGTGCCAAGTGGAACTTGGATTTCTGGATTTTTTTTCTTTTTTGTATTTTGGATCTTGATTTTATTCTATATTGTGTAGGCCAACCTTTTAACATGATGCTAAAAGTAAACCTAGTTTCCTAACCTTTTATTGAAAGGTAGGTGGTGCTGTGAGTTAATGTAATGTAGTTAGAGTATGGGAGAAAAATAAAAATGGCATTTAAATTTTCAAGGAAAATTTGTCCTCGTTACATGTTGCATTATGACGGACTTCGTCTCAGGTGAAGTGACAAAGTGAAAGAACCAAGTGTGTGGCAGGTAAGATAGAGCCATTCATTTAAATGTGACGTTATTCATGGGAAACACTTATTGGTCTTTGAAGAAATAACAATGCAGAATTACTTCAAGATTAGTTTGGCCACAACATGCAAGGTCGGTCAAAACAGAGCGGATCACAATCAGCAGGAACCAGTTGGAAGCTCTTGCTCCAGTGGAAGCGTGAGTTGTTACGATTCTGCACTAGGTCAAGTGGCTTTAAAGGAGGGAGAAGAGGAAGGACGTTGGACATGCCAGTTTGGGGTGCTGAGCTGTAAGTGTCCGGGTGGGTGCGTGCTGTCGGATGATGCAGCGACAGCGATGCTGTTGCCCAGGCCGGAGCAGTGCCCTGTGGCCCCATCACCAGCTCACAGAAGATTGGAATTCTGTTAAGCTACATACAGCCAGCAGTATGTTTCAGAAGACATTTAAACTTTTTATAAGTGGAAAAAGCAGGAGTCTTCCACTGAAATTATTTTAGTTTTTGTGGATTTTAAAAATTTATTTTCTAGCCCTGGTTGGCGTAGCTCAGTGGATTGAGCGCCGGCTACGAACCAAAGTGTCCCAGGTTTGATTCCCAGCCAGGGTACATGCCTGGGTTGCAGGCCATAACCCCCAACAACCACACATTGATGTTTCTCTCTCTCTCTCTATCTCCCTCCCTTCCCTATCTAAAAATAAATAAATAAAAATCTTTTTTTAAAAAAGACTTGGAAAATTTAAAAAAAATTTATTTTCTAGTGTCCCCATTGGTTTCAAGACATGGGGACAGGCAGGGTTGGAGGGAAGGTATGGTTTGTCTAGACCTGTAATGTTAAAGACACAGTTTAGTTGAAATTCTAAGTTATAAAGAAGCCTTGAAAAAGTATTATTAGCCATAGTGACTGTTTTTCTTTATCATATAAAGTTTACTTTCACATTTTATCACTTATTTATATTTTATGCACCAAATCTGAGCAGCCTTTCTCTAGCAAAGTGCCTGTTTTTTTAAACTTCTAATTTAACTTCTATCAGTGATAGGCACAATTAAGGGAAAGTTGGGCTTTTATTCCAGGTTGAGAAATTATTAGCAAAATCATTCATTAGTTAGATTTTCCTTTATCCATACCTAAGACTGTTACAGGAAAGCGACTCAGACAGTGTTGGAGTTTGCAAAGTGGAGTTCTATTCACGTTTGTGGACCCAGGGGAGACATTCCAAATTCTGGGCTCCGAGCTCAGGCTGGGGCCGCTTATATTCTTGTTACACAGGCAGGAGGAGGAGGGGGAGGTGCACAGCTGCTGAAAGCAAAGCGGGCATACAGAAGCAGAAAGCGGGGGTTAGCATACGACCTTGAGATAGCTGCTTATCTGGGAATGGCTGCTGTCTGAGAAGGGCTGCTGTTCAGCTACGTCCTGTCACAAGATCATTTATTTTTTTCTGAAATATCTTCATTTATGAAAGTTTTTGTTACTTCTATCACTAAAAAACAGGTCTTTTAAAGACGTGGCTGGTGTGATTAAACGATATTAGACACAGCATTTTACCAAGTATAAAGTAATATATAACTCTCTGGTATCACTTTTTAATCACATAAATTGCACTTACTGTACACTTTCCACCAGTGGCTTATCAGCATTCTGATAGAGAGTGGCATTTATCAGGAAACCACAGGATCAGACTTAATAAATTACCATCCTCAGTAGAAACTACTGGCCTTTAGTACATGCTCTGTTCCCCAAGTTTGCATACTTAAATCACGAGTATTTTTAGCCTAGTTTCAACTTTTTGTATAAATTACTGCACTCAGTCATTTACTTCTATGCCTCTGTGTTGGCTTACCTATAAAATGAGGAAACAGGAGGAGAAATCAATCAGCGTAGTGTTTGCTTATCTCGTGTAGAATTGAGACTGATTCTATAAGGTGGGTGTGTCCTGCTTTACGGTCACCACTGCAAGACAGGAGAAGGAAACGACTCAGAGGTTGTGTAATGTGGCCAAAGGCACACAGCTCAGAGGTGCCACACCTGGGGTTTCTGCGCAGTGCCAAAATTCAGACACTGCACCGCAGTGTGCGGCCCCCTGGGCTGGATTACTCCTGCTGAGAGAGTGCTGTATTAACAGCGTTTCCCAGCTGAGAGAACTGATGGTCCGGTTTTCAGTAGCAGCACTGATGTGTGTTCCACGTGACCACTTACCTCGATGCCTGTGTTCTCCGTCATGGCTCTCGCTGTGCCTCTGTAGTAACTGTATGCATGCTGAGGGATTTTTGTTTCCACTATGGACAACTGCTGTTAACCTGGAATCCTGACGTTGAGTATTACAACTTCTATTTTTGAATGGCAGGCTTAGAAAAACATAAACTTTAAAAAATTAGGAGCTTACTTCCTCTATGGAAAAATCTGTAACAGAACATGTTCCTTTTAATAAACATCTTTGAATGTGGTCACGATTCAGAACCAAAAGTATTTACCTACGCTTTAATTTGAAGGCTCCAGGCTTCTATATTGGCGGTCTTATCAGGGAGGGTCCAGTTGTGGCAGCCCACTGGGTAGCAGAGAAAGTCGTCTCGTTGCCCAGGCCAGAGCTGTCTGCAGTCGTCCGGGAAATAGGAAGCCTCCTCCCAGGGCACCACCAGGCAGCCTCAGCTGCTGGGCCCGTGCTCTGCGGGGTCGGGGTGCCGCTCCCTCGCCTGGTGTTTGTTGGGAAGGCCACGGGAAGGTGGTCACCAGGCCGAGCTGGGGCTGCCACTCTGGGCATATGGCAGGGCAGAGCGTCACTGCAAGTTCTGTATCTGCTGACCAGCCATGCAGCAGCTGGAACTAACAGTGTCCCTTGGGTGCCTTCTACTGAGAAAACATGCTTAAAAGACTCATTGAATTATTGTGAATAGACATTGAAGGGCACATTTGAATTTGACAGACAATAAATTGATAGCTGGCACAACAGTCCAAGGTGCTGGGAAGTAAAATGTGAACTCATGATTTGTAATAACGCCAAATAAAACACCTTGCAAAGGTGTTAAACCACCTATATTAGACTCACTTTGTCAGTAGAATTCTACCTAGGCTAGAGGTAATGTCACTTTATTTCATGTAAATAAGGTAGAATACCCCTATCTGCTAAGTGACCCACTTTTTAATGTTGAAATGCGTTCTTCATTCAATAATGGGGAGCATGTGTGTGCGGGCACTGAGTATTCAGAGCCAAAAGAGGAGCCTGCTCTCAATCAGCTTGAACTGGTAAGATAATTCTTTCAAAGAACCACTTGGGAAATTCTCTACAGAAACTTTTATTTTCTAGGTAGATATTTTAATAGTTTTCTAGTTACCTAATTATTTAGTTCTCGCAAAGTACATGCAGACCTTCTCTAATCAAACTGCACATATGCTCATCATGAAAATGGAATAATGCCATAGCAACAGCTGACTTACTGTGTTCCAGACATTGCCCTGAGTGCTTTACATGTGTTATTAACTCATTAAGTCTTCAGCTCCGTAAGATAGATACTAGTATTATCAGTCACTGTTTCACAGAAGACACATCACGTAATTTGCGTAGGATTACAGAGCTAGCAAGTCCCATAGACAGGATTCAAGGCAGATAGTTTGGCCCCAGAGCCTCACAGGAGAGTCCTCTTTTAAAAACATCAGCTTATTAGGAAAGTCTGGAGTTTAGCACATTAAAAAGATGCGAGTTGCCGAAATAAGTATTGATGAATGATGTATTTAATCGGATTCATGAGTGGGTGGCAGCTGGTGTGGATTAAGAATTAAAAGTCAAATAGAAAAACACCTGAGCATTCTAACGAGAGGCAAGTTATTGAGTGATGACCCGAGAGTTCTTTCCCTTTACTCTGGGTAACCAGTTATAGAAAAAGAAATGTCTAATAAAAAATGTTTCAGTCAGTCATTGTCTTTGTGGTTGAGAGTACATGTTCTTTCTATGCAGATAGCAGAGCTTGGTAAGTAGAAATATCTCCTCCTTTTTTCCCAGATTGTTTTCTAAGTTTCTCGGATATGTTTTTGTTTGAAATATATTGCTCCTCCACCCGTTGTTCTTACTATCACGAACACAGTTATTAATTCATAAAATATAATGAATGACACATGGCTCATACCTTGTAGGATGCCGCTCTTCCCCCCTCCCCCAACCCCCTAAATGTGTCGGTCTGACCCTTCCCAAACACATTCCTTTCTGAGGGGCCTGGGGACCCTGTTAGAGCAGTTCTGTGCCTGGGTTTCAGGGACACACCGGTTCAATGAAAGTGTTACCATTTGTCAAGGCTAGCTTTATGCTCCCTGTAAGGTGTTCTGAAGCTGGTTTTGCTTTTGTGGTGGGTGGATATGAACATTTTATGAGGGTAGCATTGACTCGTCTCTTGTTTGGAGGTCAGAGAAGTCTTTTTGTGCGTTGATGTTTGTCACGTTATAAATAAGACGTCAAAGGCTACTTACCTGAAGGCCCCCTAGTTTTCTGCTCTAAATCAGCTGTGTTTTTTCATTTACGAAAAATGGCATTTCCTTGACTGGGGGATGCCAGTTTAGCAAACATTTCTACCTCGTGGTATTCAGATTATAATACCAGACATATGGTGAGCTTTTGCCTCATTCGTTTTTTAAGAGAAAAATCACTGCGGAGAACGTGGGGGTGGGGGGATAAGACTGCCCCAAGTGGAAAAATACTTCCGGTCTGAATAGATGCCTGGACAAGCAGACGAGGGTAACCCGAACAGTCAGAAACCTGATATGACTAGGGGTAGGTCTGACCTTTTTTCTTTGTTTTGTTTAAGAACCTTTGAGGTTTGGTTTGGTTTTGTTATGTTTAGCACCGAAGGAAATTCCTTACTGGTTAGCGTTGGCTGTTGCGTTGGCCTAAAATTGCCAAACAGCAAGACTACCAAGCAACAATATTTCAACTTTCTGTACACCTTGGCGTGGCAAC